GTTCAAAAGGTGATTTGTTGCTGAGAAGAGGAGAAGGCAATTGATTGATCAGAAAAACTGAAGATAAGATGCAATCTCCCCAAAACTCCAATGCAACACCAGACTGAAACATTAAGGCTCGAGCTACATTGAGAATATGCTGATGTTTTCGTTCTACCACAGAGTTCTGTTGTGGCGTTTCAGGGCAAGAGTGATAAGCAATGATACCTCTTTCCTTGTATAATGCTTCAAACTTTAGCTCAGGAGCATTGTCAGACCTTACTGCCTTGATACACTTCTGAAATTGCGTTTCAACCATTTTCAGAAAAGTTGGAAAGATCTGCAAAGCTTCATTCTTTGTCCTCATCAGATAAACCCAAGTAGTTCTGCTGTAGTCATCAACTATTGTGAGAAAATAGCGATACCCTTCAACAGTTGGAACTCTGAAAGGTCCCCAAGTGTCTATGTGAACAAGATCAAAAGCATGTTCACATATATTATTCATGGAAGGAAAAGATAGACGTTTCTGTTTAGCTTTCTGACATACTGAACAATGAACCAAATCTTCTTTATTCCTCTTTTGTAAACCAAGTACATTGTGCAGTACATCAAATTTTTCATAAGAAGCATGTCCCAATCTACTATGCCATAAAGCACTATCAACTATAGCAGAACATTGTGGAGTAGAGACAATACTAGAATGAAAATCAGATCTAGTGTCGAGAACATATAACCCTCCAACTTGTCTACCTTTTCCAATCATTAGCTCCTTGATACGATCCTGTATCACACAAGAATCCTCATCAAAACATACTCTTGATTTTGAATCTTTTGCCAATTGACTTACACTTAGGAGATTTAGTCTGAATTCTGGAATGTATAACACATTTTTCAAGGTGATATCATCATTCAGTTTAATCATCCCAATTCCTGCTATTTTGACATTCATGCCAGTAGGAAGTGTTACTGTATTACTAAGACCATCGGATAGGCTTTCAAACAAGTTTCTATCATAAGAAACATGATGAGTAGCACCACTATCCACAATCCAAGTACTGCCAGTTAAAACATTCCTAGAGGCTGTCAAAACACAAATAAACCACAGACTAGAAGGAGAAAAGGAGATACCATTGACTGCAAAACCATTATCATCACTAGTGCTTGCAACAGAAGCAATAGTCATTGGCTGAGCAGAGGAGTGAAGCTGAGTACTGAAGTAAGCTATCACATCCTGAATCTGACTTTTCGACATGTTTCCTACTAGTTCTGCAATACCATCTGGCCCAATTCCTGTGTTGCTTGAAGAAGAACCATCGGTGATAGCTAGATTAGCAACAACAGGCTTGGCTTTTTCAGATGTGGCATTCTGTTTCGGCTTGTGTTTAAAACCCGGAGGATAGCCATGAATCTTGTAACAAGTGTCGACATTATGGCCAGTGTATCCACAATGTGAGCATTGAACTTTGTTCTGTCGTGGATTATTGTGATAACCAGCTCGTGTAGCATTTGCAGCATATTGATCAGGTGGAGCAGCTGTGACTTGAAATGCAGAAATATTCTGTGGCATTGCAGGAATTGTTCTTTGACTGTGATCTTGATCTAAAAGATTGTAAATCTCAGCCAAGTCTGGAATGGTCTTCTTCATGATGATTTGACTACGGATTGTAGCATAAGACTCATTTAATCCTGCAAGAAACTTAACCACCTTGGCATGTTCAGCTTTGCCTGCATTTGATTTACAGCAATTGCAATGTTGGCAAGTATTTGTACAGTCTGCACCATCCAAATCATCCCATAATGTCTTTAAAGTAGTGTAATACTGAGATAAACTCATTGAACCTTGCTGCAACGCCCAAATTTGTTGAGTGAGATGATATGAACGTGGGAGATTTGTGATATGAAATCGAGTCATCAAATCTTTCCAAATCTCAGCAGCATCATTCAATCGCAGTATACTCTTGTAAATTTGCTTATTCACAGAATTCAATATCCAAGATTTGACCATGCTGTTACAACGTGACCACACTCTAAAGCTAGGATCAAATTCAGGAGGTCGTGGTAAAGAACCATCAACAAAAGCAATCTTGTTTTTTCGCATCTAAAGCAACGAACATCGCGATCTTCCAAGAAGAAAAATTAGACTCATCCAGTACCTCAGAGATGATTGTGTTGCCTAGGCTATCACCGTTAGAGAGAGCGAAAGGTGAATAGTTAGCATCGGAGAAATCAAACTGTGGCATCGGATGAATCGGAGGAATCGGAGGTCGCGCCGTGAAAACCGATCGAATCGGTGGTGAATCTTGATGAATCGGTGAACTCTGATCTCGATTTGGAGTTTTCTCAGCTGAATTGTTACTCGACTTTCTCGTACGACGCCATAAATTCTTAACGGAAACCATCGCAAAGTCTGAGCTCGATCCACTGAGTTGTCTAACGAACGATCGAAAAAGGTGAGAAGAAAAGAAGAAATCGATGAGCTTCAGAGAAGAAAACTCAAAGATCCATGGAAGAAAGGTTGCGAAGAGGAGCAAAATGCTCTGATACCATAATAGAATGATAAAGAAGCTCGAGGAAGAAGATGAAATGTTCTGTTATTTCTCATTAAGCCGTTTGTTACAGTGATACATTCTTTATATAGTAGAATGCTCTGGTTTAGTCTAATCACACTGGTTTTCCTAAACCGGCTAATAACCACATTCTAATAGAAGCTGATCCCCCGGCTGTTAATTATTGTGAGACAAGTTGGATAGACAAAGTGCCTGGATGTTACGATGCGTTGAGGATCTTTGTGGCCACCGGAAAGGTCGAATGGTTATCAGCAGATTGTTGCAAAGCAGTATTAGCAACACTCCCTCTTTATTGCTCCTTGAAAATCAAGCCTGCCCTAAATATATCAATGACTACCTTGAAACTTGTCTGTACTCATCGTTTCCCTTAGGTCCGCCAGGTTCATGATTTTTTTGCCATATTCCGCTGGAACTTCACGGTAACACTTGTTTATTTAAACATGATGATTATCAACGGATTAAATCATATATATTTTGACTTGCTGTTACCGTATGTTTCTTTATTAGATCCTTCAAATATGGATCTTTCATTTTAGAAGAATTCATGATTTATTTCCTTTCTTTATTTTGTGAATGATTCTTATTATTCAAAATGGAGACAAATTATTATTATTCTTATTTTTAATGGAAATGGTATTTTTATTTTTATTTTGTTTAAAAATGGTGATGTATCTACTTTTATGGATTTAATCTTTAATTCTGAATATCTGTACCAAAAAAACCTTTTAATTCTTCATATTCAGTCAATGATTTGTCCTAAATATATTAATCTCCTAATATGCATGCATATTGGGTCAATTTGATATATAACTTGCCAAATAATTTTCTTGTAGTCAAACTTTCTAATACAGTACAAAACTCATTTTTTCTATTTATTCAGAGAAACAAAGATCTCCAACTCCATACAATTAGAAACAACAAAACCAAATCTTTCTCAAACAAAAAGAAAAAAGGAGAATATATATGAAACTAATTATGCAAACCAAAGTCATGATAGCTTTGTTGTTAGCCATAATCTTGGCACTGATAGCCAGACCAGCAGAAGCAGCACCGCCGCTTGTGTATTGTGTGACAAAGAGGATAGAAAGAGTGCCGGGATGTTACGATGCGTTGAGGTTAGCGGCTGACAGAGACTACAGATGGTTATCGGTAGACTGTTGCAGAGCAGTATACGCAACACTTCCTGCTACTTGCTTCTTAAAAGTTTTTCGTGACCTTATTTTACCAATCAGTGTCTTCCGAGATATTTGTACTAATACTGTTCCTGCTACTGCTCAATCCCCAAGTTTCTGATTTCTCTTATATCTTTTGATGATATGATATTTAACAATATATGAAGCAAGTCATTACAATTTAATTCTCTCTTTTTTTTTTTTTTTTTCTATTGTTGTTGCCATGCATATTCCTCTAGAAATCCACGTTGACACCAGTTTGATTAACCCAAATCCACCAAGTCAATCATATATATATATATATATATATATATATATGTATATATGTTTCGACTAATTAAGTGGTATATATATAAACCATGCAAAAGACGAATCAAGAAAATAAAATGTCATAGCTTCGACTCGTAAATATTAGTTATTAGTATCAATTCTTAACATATCTGTTATAACTCAGACGCGAATCTCTGAATCCAACAAAAGTAAGTATTTATCGGTCAAACTAATTATCTCTGAATTATATTTAAGTTCACTGTTCATTCGAATAATGTAAATAGACATAATCCATTTTATATCTGTCAATTCCATACGTAATCGGTTAGTTTTAGTATTGAACAGCAAAGATGGAGTCATGGAGACAAACGATTTCATTAGAAAATTTATACTTTCCTTAACTGTATGATTCTCCTAAAAATATGTATATGGGTCAAACAATTACATAAAGTTTCCGAATCTTTTACAACCAAATTTCTATATATACATGATCATAAAGTCCTTTTCTTTTATATATACGAAACAATCAATCATCTCTCTACACAATCCAAAACCACTAAATTTTTTTTTTTGTTTTATTGGAAAAGAAAAAGAAAAAACCTGCGCCTGTCTGAAAGATGAAACAAGAACAAGCCAAAGTGATGTTTTTCTTGTTAGCCCTAACCTCAACATTGGTTTTCCGACAATCGGAAGCGCAGCCGAACTCGAACCTGTGTTCGACGACAGCTATAGATAACGTGCCGGGGTGTTTCGATGCGGTGAGATTAGCAGCGGATGCAGATTTCCGATGGCTGTCAAAAGATTGTTGCAACGCAGTGGAAACACTTCCTGATACTTGCTTCTTGGTTGTCGTTCCTGGCAAAGCTTACTATACTAATATCTTCAGAAGCATTTGTATTAGCAAATTCCCTAAATTACTACGTCTTTAATTATTTATTACTAGTTTTTTTTCTTCTAATCATTTGCTGTATCTTGTTCACAATATAATAAGATGAAACAAGTTTACTCTTTCATTCATTTTACTACTTTAATTTGTGATCTCACTGAATATTTCTTGGTATTTGTTTTATGACTACGTACTACTTTGTTTGAGGTCTCATCATCTTTCTTACGTCTTACATAAACTACGGCTACTCAGATAGTTAATGGAAATGCCATCAATTTCAAGGTTTTTAGTTGGATTAGTGTGAGATCCTCTACTCGAAGCAGAAGTTCGATCGTATTGGTGGAATTTTAATGGACACAAAGGAACAATAACAAGGTTGCAGATCGTTTAGCTAAAGATAATATTTGCTCCTAATGAATAGGATCACTATCCCAATTAATCAATGAAAGCTGTTAAAATAAAAAAAAATTACGTGTTATAATCCTATCTGGTTTTGGCAATCAGCCAACCCTTTATACTCAATTCGGAATCTAGTACTACTGGAGAATTTTGCATTACTAAGAATTTACGATACTAGCTAAAATATCATTTCCTTGCTAGCATCACAATTTAATGTAAATTCTTTGTCTCTGATCCTATGATGAATTCCAACTTTTAGAGTTTCGCAATGTATTCAAAAATACATATTGATTGCGAATCTCCTAATGTTCGTGTACATTGCATGGGTCACACAAAATAAATATGGAAACTTTTCAATTCTTTTTATTTAGTCAAAATGTATTCGTATATTCCATATAAAAAGAAAACTCCATACACAGCATCTAATAAAAATTATTTTCTATTTATTTATTTACCGGAAAAACAAAAAGAGCTCAGCAGTCAGCACAATATACAAACAAACCTGTCAAAACTTTTTGCTTTAATCTTCTGGAAAAAATGAAATTAAAACAAATGAAAGCGATGTTGTTGTTCGTGTTAACCCTAGTCTCAATATTGGTTTGCAAAGCATCAGAAGCTGGTCAAGATCCAAGCCATGTATGTTCGAAAACCGACACATCGCCGATAGACAACATACCGGGATGTTTTGATGCGGTGAGATTAGCGGCGGATGCAGATACCAGATGGCTCTCAAGTGACTGTTGCAAAGCTGTTAGAACTCTTCCTTATTGCCTTTTGGTTATCTTTCCTACCAAGTTAGCTGTAAATACTATTACCCTCAGAAACATTTGTATTAAAAAATTCCCTGGATGAAATCGATATGTTTGTGTGTAATCTTTCAAATATTAATAAAAAAATTATATCAAATTTACTTTTGAAAATTCTGGCAATTAAATCGCCAGCAATCATATATATGTATATCTCGTCGAATATATTTTGTTGCAATACATATACTTTTTAATCAGAAGACAAGAATAAAACAAAGTTAAATATCCCTATGTCGGTTATAAGACCATTCATATATCGGTTGAACTGATTATGTCTAAAACATAAATCGCGGCTGAAAAAAAAAAACATAAATTAAGTGAGTCAAATCGTAATTATATATGTAGTTTTTACTTAGAGTCGACACTAATCACGTCATTTCTCTACGAACTCTATATTGACTGTGTATATAAACCATTTATATATAGATTCTTCTCTGTTGTTGTTGTAAAAAAAAAAAGAATATGAAACCAAAGCAAAACAAATAAATGTTCTTGTTATTGATCCTAGTTTCACCAGCTTTGATGAATTTCGGACCAGCAGAAACTCAGCTAAAAACGAGCGTATGTTCGAAAAGACAGACAACGCCAATAGCTAAGTTGCCTCGATGTTTTGACGCGGCCGACGGAGATGTCAGGTGGCTATCAAGAGACTGTTGAACAAACTCGATGATTCTTAAATATATCACAAATCTCATACAATCATATATGCCTCTTTGAATGTTTCATGGTTCGAAATTTGGTATCTCTACTTGTCTATCTCGACCTCAATACTGAACATATACCACACAGCCCTATATACTGTTATCTCTATTTTTTTAACAAAAAAGAAAGATATGCAAAAGAGAAAACATAATTTTTTCAGAATCACCAATATATTTCTAAATTGATTTAATAATCTTGAAATTTCCAAGTAGATGAAGAAGAACACGTTTTCTTTTGGGTCTATCTATATATTAACCAGTGCTTCCCAAATATTTACAACAACAATCTCCTCGGGAGCACATACACACACAGACACGCTACATTTAACACTCACAGACTTGACGCTTGAAACCTAAAACCAATACAAGATACACATAGTAACACTGTCTATACCACCAAATGTTCTTCTCATGGTTTTGTTCCCCCACTCTGTGCATTTCTCTATATCTCATCTTATAATCACCATAGTAAGACATATGAAGACCAAAGCTGGGAATTGTTGCAGACAACTTCACTTGTGTAAACTTTTGTCTGTTTTACCTTTTACTTGTGTCATGTTGGAGTAAGAGAAATAAGAAAACCCCAGAGGAAGAAAAGCTTTTGTTGTTGTCATCTTGAAGCTGAGAGAAACCTATGGAACTTTTCTACTCTATCTTTGTTACGTTGCAATAACTGTTCCGCCTTCTTTTTCTTCTTCTTTCTGTGGAAGAAATCCTCAGTGTCCAAGACGTATGAGATCTACAAAAGGTGCATATATATTGAGTAGGGAGAAACTTTTTCATATAGAAAGATGAGCTGGTTGAAGTCGGTTTAAGTGGATTGGTTGGTAATTTTTGAGACAAAATGTCTGACCTTGTAAGAAGAGCAAGACATCTTGCACTCCAAGCCATTTACTAATTTGACACCTTCCATAGCTTTACCGAGTGCTGTAAGATCATACAAGCCAGTGTATGGACGCAGGTTCCTGCCAAAATTGGCCAAAAAAAAGAGATTTGGTTTAATTAATCAAATATCATCCCAGATTGGCATCCTGGACCTATTCCAGTAGAAGAGAAAAAGAAAGAACAAACCTATATATAACCTGCAAGCGTTCAACGAGATAGAATCTACCATTATATGAGACTTCAAAAGACTAAAAATGCAGATGAAAGACTGAGTAGTAAATAAGACAGATACCTTTGTAACACAATGTTATGTCCCTGCTCTTTTTTCACTGGTGAGGTGGAAAGAAACTCTGTTTGCAAATAACTTGCAAATGTGGGATCCACAGAAACTGCATACGCTTCCGGCTTCTCGTTTATGTTATCCATAAGCTGGATAGATAGACGTGATGGCGAGGATGACTGCAAATTAAGTAAAAAAGGCAATTAAAGTTCCAATTGATCATGAGTGACCACATTGATGTATGAAGACCGGGAGACATAAGAGAGTCACAAGGTTCATACACATTCCAACCGGTAAATATTTTCCTCGTGAAGGAGAATCCTGGCATTTTCATAATACACTGAGTCGATAACCCATCCGGGTTTCCGGGATTTCTCATACTCATACAACTGAAGGAGCTTATTGTCCATTTCATCAGCTACAATAGCTTGAAGCTGCAGATGAACAATATTAGAACTTCCCATGGTATGTAACATAGGGTTGATAAATTCAAAAAACTTATGTCTTAAAACACTAGTGCCAGTAATAACCTGCTTAACCAATTTGTATATCAGTTTGTCCAACGTGAATAACACATATGATTGATTTCCAATAAGAGCTCTGCACTCATCCTCAAACTTCGTATTTTCAGCTGATCCATCAAGCAAACCATACAAAACCCTCATAAACCTGTACACCACCCATATCAGCTTTTGATAGGAAAAAAAGGTATTGGAATATCTATATAGACTACTTGAAACAGTTCCACAAAGGAAGTTACCTCGCATAAGGATCTAGGGATTTGGTATCCTTTGAGTTTTCCGATTTCAATTCACCGCCTGAGCAATTCCTTTTTGCAGACAAAATTCTCTCGTACAGGATCTGAAAAATCACCACTTTATCTTTTGATAGAGAGTAGAAACTTCAGTTATAATTTGGTAAAGATCATATAAAACGATGCACTCACTTGGTGAAGCCTAAAAAGAACATAAAAGTCGTCATTCCCATAGAAAACTCGGAAATCTTTTGTCCTCTCATCGCGGAAAACTGCTCTTACATGCTTTGTAAGGGGTCTGACAGACAAGATAACACGTTCTGACTGCGGAATCAACTCAAAGTCTCCTTCTAAGATATGTGAATTCATCCCCTCCACCTCCCCTTCACTCTCAGCTTTACCATCAATTTCATCATGCACACCATCTGCCTCCTCTCTGTTTTCGTCATGTGAACATTCATCGCCACCAGAGTCGGTTCCAGATGCATCCTCACCACCCTCGGAAGCATTTTCACTATCATCATCCTCATTCTCTACTTCAGCTTCTTCTGAATTCTCTGGTTTGGATGTAGACTTCACCCCAAGATCTTCATAAACACCAAAGTTGTCTTCGAAATCACCATTCGGTGACAATTCACCTTCCTCCTTCTCAATTCTGCACGGACCTACGGGTTCATCAGAATTCGCAGTACCTTTAGAAGAATCTGACCTTATTCCATTTGCCAAAACTATCGAATTGCCAACATCACCTCCCTTGTAAAATGAAAGGACCGATGAGCATGGTCAGAAGGGTCCAAAAAAGCATAAAATATATAATAAAGCACATTTTTACTTATTTCAGCCCTGGGTCCCATAGGTAGTACTGTAATACTCCATGGGTAGTACATCCCCAATCCATGGAAACCTCTCGGCAATAGTGGGTTAAGGTAAAAATATAAAATATGTTACAACTAAAAATTGATTGTAGTACCTGAGTCGCATGAACAGTTTCAATGCTATCTACCTCGTGATGTATATCACTGAGGGTGTTGCTTGGTTTGGCTTCAATCTCATGTGAACCTGAAATGTAAAGTAACAAATATCAACACAAATAGATAAGCAGCAGAAATTAGTTTAATTAGTTTACATATGAAAATTACCTGCCAAATCACCTTTTCCTACAACCCCATGATTGTTTTCTCCCTCACTTGGGATTGATACGCTCGAGGTGGCTGCTTTTTCCCTAATATCCATCGGGATAGGCATTCCAAATCTATCATCAGCTCCATTTCCAGTCTCTTGTTCTATCTGGGGTCTCACGGCAGAACAGGTAGCACCATCTCTGTTAGCCGTATCAGCATGTTTAAGATTTTCTTTCCTTGTCAAATCCTTATTCAACAGACCAATCCCACCACGTTTGGATGGTCCAGGTGAAGCATTCTCATCTCCATTGGCAGCAGATTTTAGTTTCCGGGAAGCCAAACTTGTTGTCTCTGCTACAGAACTCACAGCAGCCTCCCCGTTAGTAGATGTACTGTGATTCACATCGAGAGTCTTGGGTTTTATTACAACATCTTCAGCAGGATCTGTGGCCTTGGCCCGGGGAGGGACATCCAGTATTGCCTCAACGAAATCTTCCCAAAGCCTGAGAACTTTAGCAAGCTGTTCTTTTGTAGAACATAACTCCTCGCATGAAAACTGGACTAGTTTGTACAGGTCTTCATGAATAGCTCTGTTGACATACTCATATTCAAGATTAGGATTTATGGGTTGTCTGTAACCAGCAGAAATACACAATAGAACATCATCCTCATTCTGGGACTTCTCTTTCAGCTCTTTAATTTCAGTCACCAATGCTGATTTACAAGAATAAGAACAGAAAACAATGAGAAAGGAAAAGGAGAAAGTAAGAGTAGGCACTGCCAAGATGAATGCAAGCAACAAAATAGAGTAAAAAGGAACTACTTGAATATAAATTTGCTAGCGACTTCTATAAATTTACTTACATTTTGCACTCAAGTTCTTTGAATCTTGTTGCTTGAAGTAGAAGCTGCGGTGATCAAGTGACTTGTAATGATTTTTTGCATATACGTTTGCCCAGACCTTATCAAAATCTTCACGGCATTTTTTCCATTCATCTTCTTTCTGCTTTAAACGAGTTAGGACTACAGGAAGTGCGGTGGCTGGATTCTTATGTAATATGTCTATCACATCAAGACCATGGTCGCCATAAAGTCTCTCAATACACCTTAAATTTAGGGCTGTAAATATGTCAATAAGAAAATGGCAAAGTTAAGAACCAAACATATGAGGGCTCCAAAATAATGGAAAATAGTAGATACAATTCCCAGAAAATCATACAGACCCGTAAAATGGTCTTCGATCCTGAAGGGGCCAGAAAAACTTATTTTCTTTTCTGTGATGATGTTCAACAAAGTTTCTGCACTTCTGGCCGCAGAGCTCACAGATTCCAGCAACATGTCCAACTCAAATCTGTTATAAGCAGTAATTAACATAATAGACCAATTACTTCAATTAAAAAAAAAATGTATATTATATATATATATATTTATATGTATATTAAAAAATGATATACCTATCATCTTCACATTTGAATAAACTCTCTTCATATTGGTTTCTGCGCATGTGCTTAAATGAATAATCTTCACTTCCTGAAGTGACAGATACCCAATGATCATTTAAAACCTCAGCTCCTAGCTCCGATCTCTGACTCGCAGTTGGTATCGGATACTGCAAATTACATATTATAGTAAGTATTCTCCAATGAACATGCTAAAAATGCAAGTTGGAAATAAATTCTCTAATTACATCCGCAGGCAGAAGCCGGTAGCTAGGAGTGCAACACTCGCAATCAGAGAGATCGAGCTCTTGAATAGACTTTCCCATGTACTCCTCCTTGTGTTGCTCCGTTTCCTTAACAGCCTCGAGGTCAGGCTTATGTTCTCTTTCTTTCTCTTCCACCTTCATTGGCCTAGATAATTGTTCTTCGCTGCTGAATGATTCTGCCGCATGTGTACCAGCAATGTCAGTACAAAGTAGGAAGGCAAGAGACAATATTATTCATAGCCAAGGAGTTTAAAGTAGCATCATACTTTTGCTCATAACACCAGCAAGGTGCTGAAATCCATCTGCAAAAAGAATGACCCTCAGAAAGAAGAAGATTGGTGTTACATATTAAAATGAAAATAGGTATTATGAATAGAATACCAATACTCTCACACCGCTCGAAGAACTGGTTGAACTCATCCATCAGAACAGGAAATTTCCCAAGAAGATCAGAAATCTGAAAGAAAATGAATTAGGATTAAATACAATAACCTGAGCGTTAGCACAAGATCAACCCCTGATTACCAATTGCAATACCAAATTCTGCAGATCCTTCCTTTGGATTATTCCATTGCTAAACATATTAAGGAACTTTAAGAATGTCTGATAATCATCTTGGCTGCATAATCTCTCCTTGACTTTCTCGCAGAAAACAAATGCTTGGTTGTACATGCCTAACACAAAGAAAGTAGATATCTTAGAAAACAGAAGCACATTCTTTGCATTACAAAAATCACCAGGCGACCAACTCTTTCTTGAAGAAAAAATAGAAAAGAAATAGCATTAAGGTGTCAACTGATTTGGGTCCCTGGAAAATAGAAAAGGGACCAAACAAATAAACATATGTTTGACAGGAGTTAGCTTACTTTTTAAATTGTCTTTCTCAGAATGTGAAGCAGAACCAGAATAGGCTTCAAGCCCTTCAGCTCTTCTGGACGACTTCCTTTTCTCTGAAAAATGGTGTAGGTTATCTTGCTCTGCTTCTCTATCGTCAAAATCGCGACCTCTCCTTGCTCTATGCTCCTTATCAACACGCTTCCGCTGTTCTTTTTGCATCTTCACCATCGATTTATCATCATGAAGGTCGTAACGTTCAACACTATAATCACCGCGGGAAGCAAAAGCCCTTTCTCGTCGGCGTTCCTGATGATAGAAAAATGGAGTAGGTACAAAGTTGAGATACCTGACAAAAAATGGAACAAGTAAATATGAAACAAAATACCATGTACCTTTTCCACTTGCATTTGGCGAAGTAGAGGAGGGCCTGATCCTCGGTCATTGTACCGTTGGGCCTGACTCCGGCTATGCTGCGCTGCTGAATGAGATGGCAAAGACGCTGGCAAAAACCTAGTAAACCCCTCAAGCAAATCCAAGTGTCCCTCAAAAAGAATAGATACCTAGAGCACATATATAAGAAAAGGTTAGAAAATGTATGAAGAAGTTTGGAGTGGTATTAGAGGAGAGATGAAGTATGTTACCTCATTGTAAACTTCACCAATTTCCTTGTCTTCCTTTCGATACATATTCAAGATTTCCAAGAAAGATTTATAGACATGTTCATCGTGCTTAAATCGCTTCTGCAGTGACAACAAAGAAACTCGTACATTGAGACACTAGGTGAAAGGGGAACTTAATGCGAGAAGGATAAGAGCAAAATATGGACAGCACCTTAATTTTATTCACAAAATTGATGGCTTCTTCGAATTCAACAGTCTTCTTCGGCAGAGCTTCGTCTTCCTCAATAAGCGTGATTTCATATCCCTTTGGCAAAAAGGTGTTGAATCCATATATCAAATTGTTATGTCCCTTAAACAATTCCTTAACTCGTGCAATCACACCGCCTGTGTCGGTTCTGCAAATGCAAGACGAGAATTAAAAAAATCTAGAACATTAACCCTTGAGATTTCAAGTCGATAGAAAGGCAAAAGAGCTTACCTTTGAGCCTTAAAATCTTTCATGACCTCGAGGAACCTGTCATACTTGTCCCTTTGATCTTGAAACATCTCTTTTACTTCCCTCAGGTAAGACAACGCATCATTGGTTGTCAATTTCTGCGAGGCAATTTCCCCACCGGTGATTCTCCCTCCTCCTACTTCTTCTTCGGTGTCACCACGGCCTGGGACCGGAGATTGTCCATATCTGCACCAAATAAACTCTAATCAATCAATTGAATAACCCAAAGTCAATAACTTGTTCCTAACAAATTCTGTCACTCTCCATGCAAAACTGAAGAAAACCTAATCGCCACAAAACAGAACCAAGATCATCACATCACATCACATGAGTCATAAAATTGAAAACGTCTGTTAAAACAAAAATCTCATAGCTAAGGAACTGGTTTTGAAGTGACCTAAGGAAAACTCACAATTCGCCTCGAGAAGAGGGCAGAGGACGTTTAAATTGAGACCCAGAAGCATATACATCATCTCTTACCCGCTTCATCGCTGCAAAAATATGAAATTTAAAAATCACAACTCATATAGATTTATCGAATCAGAAGATAATCGACGGGGTAGGGAGCCAAAATTCCCGGCGAAACATTTTGTAAGAGGAGACCTACTTTTTTGGCACTCTAGATTTTCACGAGAAACCGAGTCTAGTGTATGCAATTAGCTACTCAGATCTCTGAAACGAGAACAGAATCGGGAAGAAGCACTTCGATCATCGGAAACCATACAGAGAGAGAGAGGAAAATTCCGGCGACACACCAAATTCGCCGGTGTAACAGATTAGACCGAAGATGAATTGCGATGACAAGAGAGGAGAAGCAGAACACACAAGGGAATCGAAAAGGAACACGAAGGAGACAGAGAATATCAAAGGAGTTTAGAAGCAAAGACGCGGAGAATTTTCGAATAAGGCAGTGAGAGAGGGATTTGCCTTCCTCTTCCGCTTCGATGTTTCACTTTTGTCTGCGTTTTGCGGCTTACTGCTAAACTCTGTAAATTCATTATTTTCTCGTTTCTCCATTGTTTTGGGCCGCGAACAAATATTTATTGGGCCTTTATCTATAACATTTGGCCCCAAATATATGTTTCAATCCATGTTGTCTAAAGAAACTCTAACAAGTGAATTTGACATACTTTTATACTATTGAATGTTAAACTCTTGTGTTATTCAGTTAGGCATTTCTTAAATTCCTTTAAATTCTTTTGTGATTTCTTTTGGTAGGATTTAAATTATTTTGTGATTGAAGTTATGTATCTGTGACCATTCTTTCATACTTTAACTTCTAGTGTTATCCAACTTGTTAATTTTTTATTCTATTAGATGCTAGTGTTATTTAATGTTATGTAGTTTATTACTCCTAATCTCCTATTAGTATTCAAATCAAAATTTCTAAAATCTGTTTACCAACATATATAATCCAACAATAGTGCTATCACATGAAGAAAATGGTGTGAAACATTGTTTAACAAGAAAATATATTTACAGATTTTAGTCGAACATTGACATATACAAACAAAATTATGTACGACCTGAAGAACCAATACATTGTCGAAAAAATGATGATAAACCACAACCGGTGTTGTTTGCTGTAGAAGATGATATATCTGGTCTTTGACGTAATTCAAAAAAGTATGGTGATGTTGGCGATGAAGAAGAGGATGAAGAACTTGATTTTTGTGATGGAATTTTATCTTCAAGGTCATTATTGTTTCTTCGAGACTGTTCACACGTTTGCTCTTGACTTTGAAGAATTGCTCCATTCTTTTTATCTAAAATGAATTGATCACTCCAAATGCGACCTGAAGAACCTTGGCGTCGGAATGAAACTGCTGACCTTTGTAGCGATGTCATTACTAATTAGCAGAGAAATTTTTTTGGTAGCAAAGTTATTTGTTCTATCAATGTTATTTGTGTATGTATGAAAGCTATCGAAAAGTGTTTTATTTTTTTTAGAGTTTTATCCATTTTTGTTTAAAATAAAATAGATAAAATTAGTTGAGTTTAAAATTAGATTTTATCGGATGTTGGATTTACCGCAAACATGCTATAATTAAACTAAAATTTTAAATCAATTCCATGAAGAGTAGATTAGTTTTGATATTTTCTTCCATTAAAGTCGGATCCAATGAAAAATTCAAGCCTCAAAAAGATATAGATTTTTGAGTGTGTAAAACAATTTTAAATTTTCAATAAATACCATAAGCAAGAACTAGTTATTATTAGACAACAAAAGTGATCCCCCAACATTAGACAAGGAAGTTTTGTGCAAGGGAAAACATTACCCGCCGCTCGTGTAATGTGACTTGAAGACAGTGAGTAATAGATAGATCTCCTACATGAAACGATAAGTATATCTCAAGAAGCAACTAGGAATTAAGAAGCATCACCATGCATCTAGCCAACTATTGTACTTTGCAATATATCTTAACCTAACTTTGTAACTTTTATCTGTGTAAGTAGATGCGCAATTGCATCTCCCTATAAGTTTAGCTAAGATTAGTCGTTGGGATTTGGGCTGGGGTTAGGTTTTGGTTTGGTTCCTTGTTTACCAGCTGAATATAATTGGACGCAATTGAGGATGGTTCAGGATTTCAATGGATCAAAAGAAGTTTTGAACATTGGGCCTTATGAAAAGCCCTTACAGCCCATAAGCGCTAGGGTTTCCGCGTAAAACCTTCGATTCGCCGCCGTTGGGGACCTTTATATACAAAACCACACATGGCTGGTAGATTCATCAGCTCTTATCGACGACACAACCTGAGTATAGGGTTCTCTGTTCAACTTCTTTTGTCATATTCAATTGTTTTCTGCTATGTAGATCTTAGAGCATCCTCATTGCAAGGGTTGTTGCACAAATCTTAAGGTAAGATTTGTGAAGAAAAAAACTTATATAAGGATTTTTCTTCACAAATCTTAAGGTAAGATTTGTGCAAGAACCCTTGCAATGAGGATGACCTTAGGTTTTCGAGTTTTGACGTTGGTCTGTCTTGTCTTAAGTCTTGATAATGCAAAAGTTAGATCAGGTGATGAGTAAATACTGCAACAATATGATGGAGAAATCTTCATGATTATTAGTATTTAAGTCTCTGATGATCTAAATCGTTTTAAATCGATCCCCTATGTTCGTACTATCGTCTTCATCGATCTGAGATCTTCTCAATTAGCTCTCCTCTCTCTCTTTTTGTTTTAGTTTTTGTGTGTTTGATTGAAAGGATAAGAAAGAAAGAGATATGATGATCAACAAATTGGTCCGTGTTTCTGATTAACCGTGACCGAAATTTTTCTTAACCAAACTCTGATCTCTTTCTTCTCCTTTATTCGTTTTTGTTTTCCCTTAATTTGGTTTGGTAATAATCTTTATCATCGTCTTCTGCTGTGATGATTTTATGAGAATTCACATGTCAGACTTCAGAGATTCTTGCAATCTATGAGAATAAACTCATATATATCTGAGCAGATGACTAATATTTTTTCCAATGTGTCGCCCACCATTGAAATTTGGCAAGCAGATTGCTCCTTGTTACTGAATCTGGACAACTTACAAGAAGTAGTTTGGTTTGCCGAATAGGCAATCAGGAAAAATATACAAATTAGGAAAGAGTCGGATATCTGTATAATTACATGCATGTATAATTCACAATTATAACAATGTGAAGCTTACTCCATGATACGACAATCTGGCAATGGAGTGACTAAATATAAAACTTTATGAAAAGGGTTCGTAATGAGTTGGGTTGAATGAATCTTATCAACGATCGGTTCTGTTATGGAGAAAGCCGAAAATATTATAACAGAAACTTTTGCCGATAACCATCAGAGCGTCATTAATTTATGACAACAAATGAGGCTTTTTCTGGTAATTCTAAAACACTACCGCAGTCTTCTATAATGTTTGAATATCTAAAATAAAATTAACAATCAACCAAAAACATGACAAGAAACATTTATACCTACGTCAACAAAAGAATTTTAGATCCATTCACTTTTGTCTCTCCTAATTATTGATTATTTTTGTTCGTCTGAGTCGGGGTGATGGAGATATTCCGAAAGGCAGCGATTGTACGGCTCCGTAGCCACAACGAAAAATTCCTAATCGCCGATGAAGACCAAGAATCCGTTTATCAAGACCGTCGTGGCACAACTAAAAACACCCGATGGACTGTTGAGATCGTTCCTGGATCCAATGTGATTCGTCTTCAAAGCTGTTATGGCAAATACCTTACCGCCACTAATATTCATTTCCTCCTTTGTGCCACCGGTAAAAAGGTATCTCACTGGGAGACGGATCAAATCCAAAATTAGGTTTTTTAAAGATTTCTTGAATTACAAGGCATCCTAATCCCTGCATAATATTTTTACCAACTTTTGACTGCAAATCTCAATGTTTAGCGACAAGAAAACCCATTACCAAACAAGAATATACATAAACGGGCTCTTTTAAACTCTTGCTAAAGAAGCCGTGTTACAATTGTTTTGTGAACCAAAGGTACTTCAAACTTTACCGGGAAAGTTGGATTCATCGGCGGAGTGGGAACCCATATCGGACAATGGTATACATGTACGGTTCAAGAGCCGGTACGGACAATATCTAAGGGCAAACAAAGGCGTGCCACCATGGAGAAACTCTATCACCCACGACATTCCTAGCCGCACGGTCACGCAAGATTGGATCATGTGGAGTGTTGACGTTCTCCAAATTCGAGTTACCAAATATGATGATGCAGAATCCACCCATACTTCTTCCACATTTTCACGGATTGAGGTAATATATGCACCACTAGACATTACCAAAAAAGTATAAGAAACATAATTAGTAACCTTTACTGATTGATGTTAAAACTACATGATCAGTCAGACGATTCAATTACGGTGAGTTTGCCACTAAAATCCGAAGGAAGGCTAATATATTACGGGATTGGAGATGATGGTGGGAACATAAACAAGGAAATAGGAGAAAAATCAATGGTGTTCCATGGAAGTGAGCTAACAGAACTAAAGAAGAAACTAGAGGAAGAAACAGAGATGGAAGATGTCATGATTTGCTGTAGAAACCCTTTGAACGAAAAGCTTTGTCCTCTTCAACTGCATCTTCCTCCTAACAACGCAACAATGCACATCATCGTCCTTCCTTCTTCTTTCGGTAACAAAACTTATATCTCTTAAAAATTACTTTACAATCGAGGATTCCATTTTCCAGTCTAATTTAGTGTGTCGAAACAAGGTTCTTGATTATTCGACTTATTTTGTTGTTGTTTCGAATCTCAAAGTTGAAATCTGACATGCGACACATATTTTCTTGAAAGTCTCATTATTCGTCTAAAACAGCACATATTTTAATCATCCCAAGGTTAATTATTCTTTTAATGTCTAAGTACATATAATAGTATAATTATGTTACTGATTTTTCTTCATATTTCTCTTTTTCTTTTGCAGAGATTGTTGACAAGTGATAGTGATATTCCAATTACAACCAACTAGAGAAGAAGTTATAAAGTTTTATATCTTGTTACGAAGAAAGAAATCCTTTTGAAGATACTCTTCTTGTTCATATTTCTTTGTAATTGATATATAGTTGATACGTCAAAGAAAAGTATTTTGTATATACTTACTTTGTTCTATTCGTTTTATTTGCCAATATCGAAATTGATATAATAAGTTACCAAGCTAGGATTCAAATCGAAATGTATACCTAACGAATTAGTAGTTGGTAGTAGAGATTACGATAATTTCTTAAAACTACAAAAGTCAGGAAAACCTGAAAATGACACCTATCGTGTTTTGGTTGGAACCTTTTTGGGAACAAGAAAAGTTGGAAAGCAACCAAAAGCTAAATTACTTAAATTTGCTCTTTTTACTGCATATTCTCGAATCCTACTAGATCTTATCCTTCCACACCATATTTTGTTGTTGTTTTTGCTGTTACATAGGCTGAACCAAATTTAAATAGAATACGAAAACATAATAAGACATATACCTTTATAATGTAACATGGATGGACGACACAATGGACCATGTGATAGTATATATTTTTCAAAGTAGTTTGTAAATAATAACATTTAATAGAAATATAGTAGTATCATTATCATCAATCAATTCATTATTAATATATTTGAGCTCAACCACAATAATGATCTAAGGACATCCTCAATGCAAAGGATCTTAGGGGGTTTTTACCCTAAGATTTGTAAAGAGGGTACCTTATATATTATACCCTCTTTGCAAATCTTAGGGTGAAAAACCCCCTAAGATCCTTTGCATTGAGGATGGTCTAACGTAGGTCCAGTCTCGGACCACGGATGCTGACTAGTTTTTGATTCATTTAAGTTGTTTTTGATTAATTTAAGTTGTTTAACGCAACGGCCTATGACGCATGTATGTCTTTTTTTTTTTTTTTTTCCTCTCTCTCTCTCCTCGTGTGTGCTTCACCGCTCCTTGAAAGATATTTTTTTAATACGAGTATATATTTTTCTCACCCAATATCTTTCTGATTTTTTTTTTTCACTTTCTTCGCAAGCATTATCGCTATAGCTCTCCTCTGCCTTGTGAGCTCTGTGATCACCATTGTTTTACTGGTAAGCTTCTCTCCTCCTCTGTGCTTTCTTCCACTGTGTTTTAGTTACTGCGGATTTGTTCGTTTCCATTCATATAAATAGCATCGTTGGACACTGACGAGATTTAGTTATTATCTGTGTCAGTGAATATTTGTTTGTTTGTTTGATTTTGTGAATCTGCGATTTAAAGAGAGAAAACGTCACTTGTGTGAAGCGAAGAATAGGAGCTGGCCAAAAAAAAAAGAAAGAAAGGTATATACAAATAGTAAGAGAGAGAGAGAGAGAGAGAGGATGGAGATGGAAGAAGGAGGAGTAAGTGTTGGTGGTGGTGGTGAGAAGAAGATAAAGATTGGAGTCTGCGTCATGGAAAAGAAGGTGAAATGCGGCTCCGAGGTTCTGTTTCCTTTTTTTTTTTTTTTGTTTTGTGCGTTTGCTGTTCGTGTTTCGCCTTTTCTACTGACCAACAACAGATTCGGATACTGTTTATATATGTTTTCCAGCTCTCTTCATTCTGATAACACGGTTAGTTTCTTTTAACACTATGTGTTCTCTCGCTCATAGATTGTTTCTTTGTTTGTAGGTTTTCTCTGCTCCCATGGGGGAAATTCTAGACAGACTCGAGTCCTTTGGTGAATTTGAGGTACCTTCCTTATATTCACTGCTTTCTCTTTTGAATCACCCAAGAGCAGATTGTTTTTTTTATTGCAATGACCAGTGTTGCTTTTGTGATTCTTGGGCCAATGTTATTGGAAGATGCTCCTGAGTAAACTTTTTTGCCTTTCCGAGCTGTTGGCATTAGTCTGCCTAACAACTTTTATTCACGCTTTGTCTTTGTAGATTCTTTGGTATATTCCATTTCAATCCTCTTTTATGAATTATCTCTCATGGACACTTTTGTTGCTACTTTATCCGCAGATCTTACATTTCGGGGATAAAGTTATACTTGAAGATCCCATAGAAAGGTATGCTGGACGACTTAGAGCTCAGTTTTGGCTTTTTACTTTCTTGTACTATCGTTTATTCCGGTTATGCATGATTCTTTATTAGTTTATTAGGATAAAGTGTTGTTGAATATATTTCAAGTACAAAGTATATTCTGGAATCATAACTTTACCACAAGGTTTGCTGTTTCAGTTGGCCCATTTGTGACTGCTTGATTGCTTTTCATTCCTCTGGATATCCTCTTGAAAAGGCTCAGGCATATGCTGCTTTAAGAAAGTGAGTTCTACCTTTTCATTTCTCGCTCTTGCCTCAATAAAAAAACCTGTCTTACCTTAGTTCTTGGTGAAAAATTATATGAGTTTGGCTTCTGAGGTGTGATGTTTCGATCTTCTGTTATGCAGGCCATTTTTAGTGAATGAACTTGATCCGCAGTATCTTCTTCATGATCGCCGGAAGGTGTATGAGGTAAGCATTGTAAACTCAATATAGTTGGTTCTGTGCACTTTGGATAATTCTTCAAAGTGGTTCAGCGCTAGTGACAAAGAAGAGCTGCCTACTATCTCCATTTACTAATAAAAAGATTTACTTATGTGCATCTACAGCACCTTGAGATGTATGGCATCCCAGTTCCTAGGTATGCTTGTGTCAATAGAACGATACCAAATCAAGACCTTGATTATTTTGTCGAGGAAGAAGATTTTGTTGAGGTCAATGGTGAGCGCTTCTGGAAGCCATTTGTGGAAAAGCCTGTCAATGGTGAGCTTGCCTCTGGCTCTCTTCTCACTGGAAACTTATTAGCTATCCATCCATTAGCTCAAGTCGAAATTTCAAACATAATCATAGAAGTTTTCTCTATTTCTTTGATATTTGATTACAAAAAAATTTCACCTTTTTGAAAGTTGTAATCGATCTCTATCTTCTTCTATGCGGGATGTAACTAATAGAGTTACCTGAAATTGGTTGAGTGTGTTGATCTGTTTCTTCCAGCAACTAATTTGAATATAATCAAAGGCTGTTTTCTCATTAATGTAATTGGTTGTTATATGATACTGGATATCCTAGTGGTTAGCAGATCTGTTTAATTATCGGCTAACAATTGACATTCTTTATGCGTGTATAGGAGATGACCATAGTATAATGATATACTACCCTAGCTCGGCAGGTGGTGGCATGAAAGAATTGTTTCGCAAGGTACTGCGTCATTTTTAGCAGAACTTATATGCTCTGTATTGAACTGGTTATTTTTCGTAATAATCTATTGTATTTCTCGGATTAAATCCTTTTCTGCTTCATTTACTTTGTTTGTTCCCAATTTACTGTAGATTGGGAACCGATCAAGTGAATTTCATCCTGACGTCAGAAGGGTAAGGAGAGAAGGTTCTTATATATACGAGGAGTTTATGGCCACCGGAGGAACTGATGTCAAGGTTGGGATCCTTTTCCATCTACACGTTTTTCGATATGTTCATTCTCAATCCCATCTTTTGGACAACTTTTACCTTTCTGAGAATACTTTTGTACAGTTACTTGGTATCAAGTGTTCTCAGTGCAGAAGGTTGCCATGCAATTGTCCTATGTTTTTTCTGCTGGCATACATATTATAGTATATGCTTGCTGCATGAATTTCCGCGAGCTTATGTGAATCCTATTGCTGTGCACGAACTTAGCTTTCATGAGTTCTCAACTAACAATCTTCCTGGTATACACAGGTCTACACAGTGGGTCCTGAATACGCACATGCTGAAGCAAGAAAGTCGCCTGTTGTAGATGGTGTTGTCATGAGGAATACAGATGGGAAGGAAGTATGTCTCCAAATCATTTCCCAACAGTTACATATATGGAACCTAATATACCTCATTTTTAAAGGGCTACATTGCCCATGTTTCGTAAAGGTTTAGATTTTGATCAGTATTTTATTTTAATCTATTGAACAGGTAAGATATCCAGTACTGCTTACACCTGCTGAAAAGCAAATGGCTAGAGAAGTTTGCATTGCATTTAGGCAAGCGGTAAATTGGAATCCAATTCTTTGGCTCTCGTTATGTCTTACATGGCTGTAATCCCTTATAATGGTCGTTAGGAATTTCGTGCAACGACATAGTAATTTCTTCAAATTCTTCAAACAATTTCACATTTCCAGGTCTGTGGATTTGACCTTCTACGATCTGAGGGCTGTTCATATGTTTGTGATGTAAATGGATGGAGTTTTGTGAAGAACTCATACAAGTAAGCTAGCATTCAACTCTGTCTTATCTTCTGTTCTGGCATAAATGATGCCAGATAGTTATGAACCTCGTTCTTATTTTCTGTGTTCAACGTGGAATGCTGAAATAGATTTTAGACTGGCATGCTGTTACTTCTCTCTTAAAATATTCACAAATCTCTTGTACTGGAAGGTATTACGACGATGCTGCTTGTGTGCTAAGGAAAATGTGTTTGGATGCAAAGGCTCCTCATCTTTCATCGACTCTTCCTCCCACTTTGCCATGGAAGGTGAATGAACCTGTACAACCTAATGAAGGACTTACTCGCCAAGGAAGTGGCATCATCGGCACTTTTGGGCAGTCAGAAGAGCTACGTTGTGTCATTGCTGTTGTTCGACAGTATGTTCTAGCGTATAATCACCTGTTCCTTTTATCCTTCTCTCTGTTTAGCCATGATCTGAGACGTGTTAAACTTTTTTTTGCATGAAAGTGGAGATAGAACTCCCAAACAGAAAGTGAAACTAAAAGTTACAGAGGAAAAACTATTGAACCTAATGTTGAAGTACAATGGTGGAAAGCCAAGAGCTGAGGTGAGAGGCTCAGGACTTCCTAGTTCCTGTCATCAACTTCATCTTGCCTTGATTAATTTGCTTATACTATGTCAATTTTTGCCCTTTTTCAGACCAAACTTAAAAGTGCCGTCCAGTTGCAAGATTTATTAGATGCTACAAGAATGCTAGTTCCCCGTACAAGGTAGAACCCTGAACTTACTTATTCTGTTATTCGTCTCTTGTTACCAAAAACATGTCCAATGCAGCATTTATCTTCCCTAATAATTAGTAACATTATGTCTGTCCCATCAATTTTTTCTTAGAAACATAGTAGCATGCTTAGTTTACTGCTGTAGTAATTGTGTTTTCCGTTGAAATCTGGTAGAATCTTATGGTCTTCCTTTTTTTATCTTTAGACCAGGTCGTGAAAGTGATAGTGATGCAGAAGACCTTGAACATGCTGAGAAGCTTCGGCAAGTCAAAGCAGTTCTTGAAGAGGTTGTGTGTCTCGACATATTTGTTATTTTCCCGTTTCTATGTGCTGCATTCTTTGAAATCAAGTTTCATGTCACTGGAGAGGATATAGTCCTAGGAAGAATTACATAATAACTGTTCTGGATTTAACTTCACGGCCAGCTGCTGTTACTGTCATAGGTTCTTGTTTTTGGCTATACGGTGACTTGATGTTAAGATATATCTGGGAATTTTGTACAGGTTCTGTTTGGGAGTGGCTTTTCCTCTGTAACCCCTCCCTCATATGATTGAACTTTGATATGCAGGGTGGACATTTCTCGGGTATATACAGGAAGGTTCAACTGAAGCCGCTGAAGTGGGTTAAAATACCAAAAAGTGATGGTGAAGGCGAAGAAGAAAGACCAGTAGAGGCCCTTATGGTTCTGAAATACGGTGGTGTTTTAACACACGCTGGTAGAAAGCAGGTACACTACTACCATTCAGTATCAGAATATAATATAATATACATTGCAAAATTCGAGGTTTTTGTTGCTAAATAAAGGTATCTTATCTACACAACTGCAGGCCGTTGGTGTATTCTTGTCTAATTTTTTTTTTTTTTTTTTATGTGTGCTTCGTCTGCAGGCAGAAGAACTTGGTAGATACTTTCGAAACAATATGTATCCAGGTGAGGGAACTTGATCTACTTTTATTTGTTACTTTCTATCTGAATCACTTTTTTGACTTGTGATGATCAATACCTTTTCTAAGTATTTAGTGATTAAATCGCATATGATTGCAGGTGAAGGGACTGGTTTACTTCGTCTCCATAGTACATACCGTCATGACCTTAAAATTTACAGCTCTGACGAGGGACGTGTTCAGGTACAGCTTTACGCTTTTAGTAGTGAAGATGATATTCAGCTTTTGAACATATACGACAAGCTTCAATACCTATTTGCATTGTTGACAGATGTCTGCAGCGGCTTTTGCTAAAGGCCTGCTCGACTTAGAAGGCCAGTTGACACCAATCCTGGTTTGCTCTATTTCTCTCACTGAGATCTCGTGGTGCTTTGCAATGTCATATGATCACTAATTTTCTTATATTTTTTCTCTAGGTTTCTTTGGTTAGCAAGGATTCTTCCATGTTGGATGGTCTTGATAATGCCAGCATTGAAATGGAAGCGGCTAAGGTTTGTCCCTTTGTATGATGATTAATGAGCCATCTTTATTGTGCAACTCGTCTGAATCATTTGCTTGTGGCCAACAAGATCCAATCTGTTACTAAAAGACCTTACTATTTTCTAGAAGGGGATATAAGTAAAGCCTCCTCAAATGATTTTTTGGACTAGTTTAACAATTTTGGTTTCTCTACTTGCTTGCCCAGGCTAGATTAAACGAGATTGTAACGTCTGGAACAAAGATGATAGATGAACATGTCTCCTCTGAAGAATACCCTTGGATGACTGACGGAGCTGGACTGCCTCCTAACGCTCATGAACTCTTACGTGAATTGGTACTCACACTTTTCCATCATATATTAGCTTATTGCTAATGTGTAAGAGATCACCAACCATTTCTGAGTTTGTTTGCACAACACCGTTATATTGCTTTGTGCACTGAGTGCATTCATCTTATTTAACAGTTGATTTTATCTTCCATTTTCTCCCTCGTACAAGTGATTGCTGGAGTCTAGAAGATAAATTCTTAATGTATTGAATTACTTTGCAAATAATTAGGTGAAATTAACTAAGAATGTGACTGAGCAAGTAAGACTACTTGCAATGGATGAAGACGAGAACCTCACTGAGCCATATGATATAATTCCACCATATGATCAAGCAAAGGCCCTTGGGAAGACAAATATTGACAGTGATAGGATAGCTTCTGGATTACCATGTGGTAGTGAAGGGTTCCTTCTGATGTTTGCTCGGTGGATAAAACTCGCAAGGGATCTCTACAATGAAAGAAAAGAGTAAGTTTATCATCGGATTTGGATCTAGCTATGCTTTGAGTTAGTAATGCTTCTCAAATTTTTATCTTTCTTTCCGGTAGAGTTTTGTGAGTGGCACTGATAGTTGAGTTTAATTGCAGCCGATTTGACATCACACAGATTCCAGATGTATATGATTCATGCAAGTAAGTTTTGTGTTAAGTGTTGTTGGCGTATCCCTAGACTTACACCTAGCTTTATTTACTTGTTTCTTTATATGCTGTTATGTGTTATTCTCACCAGGTACGACCTGTTGCATAATTCCCATCTCGATCTAAAAGGATTAGATGAACTCTTCAAGGTTGCACAGGTAAACAAACTGAACTTCTCTTCCCTTGTTCCTGAAACTTTTATTAATAGTCTGCGTGATTGAAACTATGACTTTTCTTGATACATCTTTATTTTGCATGCATGGTTGGCTGACTGTGCTCACTTATAACTAAGTTATGTGGTTGCAGTTGCTTGCAGATGGTGTCATCCCAAACGAGTATGGCATCAATCCACAACAAAAGCTTAAAATCGGTTCAAAGGTGACAATTTCTAGCTACATGTAGTTATGTTCCTCTCTCAGACTTTTTTTTCAGAGGATCTCACAACTAATTAAATCTATAATTTTTGTTTCCATTAAAACCAAAGATTGCTCGTCGCTTAATGGGGAAAATCTTGATTGACTTGAGGAATACTCGAGAAGAAGCAATGAGCGTTGCTGAGCTGAAAGAAAGCCAAGAACAAGTCTCATTGTCATTATCTGCGTCCCAAAAAGAAGATAGAAATAGTCAACCAAAGCTTTTTATCAATAGCGATGAACTGAGACGACCTGGCACAGGTGATAAAGATGAAGATGATGATAAAGAAACCAAATACCGATTAGATCCAAAGTAATAGTCCTTGGCTCTTTGCTTTCCCTACCACTCTTATATACTGTCCTCGGTTTCAGAATTTTACTCGAGTGTTATCTACTAATTGCTTTTCATTGCGTTTTAGGTATGCAAATGTGAAGACACCTGAACGCCATGTGAGGACTCGACTGTACTTCACATCTGTAAGTTTCCTCCTTACTACATTGCTTGTTTAAAAGTATGTCCTTGAGTGAAAACTAATATGTTTTTTTTTGCGTTGTACGAACTGGAACAGGAATCACATATTCATTCGCTGATGAATGTCCTTCGATACTGTAACCTGGATGAATCACTTCAAGGAGAAGAAAGTCTCATCTGCCAAAACGCCTTGGAACGTCTTTGTAAAACTAAAGAACTTGATTACATGAGTTACATTGTCCTACGGCTATTTGAGAACACTGAGGTTCCCTTTCTCTCTCACATCATATGCTTTCAACATATGCATGGCCTTGATCAGTTTCTGAATCCATAAAATTTGGTGCAGGTATCACTTGAAGACCCGAAGAGATTCCGCATTGAACTTACATTTAGCCGTGGAGCTGACTTGTCTCCATTAGAGGTAAGAGCAATTTAAGGGTTATTGTTTTTTTTGTATAACTAATTAAGGGAACAGTTTGAAAATACTAACTGTTGTGACAAAATGCAGAATAATGACGACGAGGCAGAGTCGTTGCTAAGGGAACACACACTTCCAATAATGGGGCCAGAGAGGCTGCAAGAGGTTGGTTCATGTTTAACCCTCGAGACGATGGAGAAAATGGTTCGTCCTTTTGCCATGCCGCCAGAAGATTTCCCTCCGGCGTCAACTCCGGTTGGTTTCTCCGGTTACTTCTCCAAAAGCGCGGCGGTGCTAGAGCGTCTGGTTAACCTATTCCACAACTATAAGAACTCATCATCCTCTAATGGAAGGACCTGAAGGGCAGAACAAACCGTTTTTACTGTCTTATGTTTTTGGTTTGCTACTTAAATTTGCTCATGCTTTGTTTTGTGCAGTTTCTTTCTTCTAGTCATCTTATTATTTATCTTTCAAGTCCCAAAGATGCTAGAAAATGAAATGGAATATAGCTGTTGTTTCTTTATTCAGCATTACTATATGGTACTAGACTCGTATATATATATATAGTCAAAATAGTTGAAAGGGACTTGTGCAGTTGGGTTTGAATAAAGATATGATTACATGGAACATGAATGAGTCACCCGTGACGTTCTATAAATGAGCACTGTTTTTTAAAAATTTCTTTCAAGTATCATCATCTTAGGCAATCCTATTACTTTACATGTAACATAAACTGATATAGAGAGATGGGAATTGTTTTGCCCAATCACCGAATTTTTTAAGAAAACAATATAATGATTTTGTCATTTTCCGTAAAAACTAATTAACAAAAATCAAAAAATGTTTAAGTTTCACTTGTATCGAAAAAGAAGAAAGTGAAAATAAAAGCAATGTGATTAGGGAGGAGCTTCTTTTCGAAAGAAGCACAGATAAATTAAATGTTACATCATAATCATCTCTGTAGAATCTCAATAGATTTTCTACTTGTTTTTATTTGGTAAAATCTAAAAACATGAAGAAAAAGTAATAAATGTGATATAATTTTTGGTAAGAAATTGATTGTAAAAGAACAAAATTAAGAATAATGATTATTATATGTAAGAAAATTAACAATAGGAATAAATGTCCGTGAATAATTAATTACTTTGAGGAATAATGGAGAAAGGAAAGAAAAAAAAGAGGGTGGGGATACGAAATATGCGTTTTGTAACTGTTGTTGTTGAGAGAGAGAGAGAGAGAATGGGGCATGTGTTTGTTTGCTAACTCTCTCTCTCTCTCTCTTGCCCGCTTAGCTGCCCGTCTCTTCTTCTTCTCTCTCTCTCTCTGCACATCTCTCCACAGACATCAATTCCCTTTTTGACTAAAGTTACGCCACCTCCCCTCCCCTCCTTTCTTCCTTTCTTTTTTCTTTCCTACAAGTGAATCTTACTACAACAACAAGAACTGGGATTGCTCTCTCTCTCTCTCTCCCTCTCTCTCTAATTCGCTTGGATTTTGTAGGGTTTCTGTTCTTGTTTCCTGGTCTGATCAAGTTCCGTCCTTTTTGTTGTTGTTGTTGTCGTCTTTCTCGAGTATCACTGGTTTTTGGGGAGGGGGAGAGATGGATTTAGATTCTATCAAAGTTATGGAGAATTGGCAATCGGAGAAAGCTAATGAGAGCGACAAGAAGAAGAAGAGGAGGAGGAAGAAGAAGAACGCCAACAATGTCAGGAACAGTCAATGTGATGAACCAAATGGCTGTTGGGTCAAATTTAGGTTTATGGTTTGTTGCGTGCCTTCTACATCAGACGTTGATAGCTCTCTCTGTCTCTCTTCAACCACTGGTATCCCCCCCCCCCCTATTCTTTTCTCTCTTTCTGCAATTCCAGCTCCTTGTAGGTTTTTCAGTGCCGTTGAGTTCATAAAAACCTTTCCTTTCACATTATATCTTCTTAACTTTTGTGGATTCTTGTTTCTATATTTGTCACATGACTTATGTTTCCCACCTAGGGTTTTTTCCCCCATTTGACAAACTTACAGCAGAACCTGAAATGTCTTTGTGGTTGGTTCACCTAACTTTGAGGATTTCAGCTAAACCAATTTGAAATTGATTCCTTCTCCTTTTGCTTTGAAGCTCTAGTCATGTTGCCTTCTTGAGATTTGTAGCAAGGACTATCGGATGGTTTTGTATTGACTTTTTTTTGTTTTGCTTAACAGAGGGAAGTAAGTCCGCTACTGTGAAATCAAATGATCAACCGGTTGGCCCTGTCTCTTCTACAACTACTACTAGCAATGCAGAAAGCTCTTTGTCCACTCCAATGATCAGTGAAGAACTTAAGATCTATTCTCACCTTAAGAAGTTTACTTTCATTGATCTCAAGCTGGCAACTAGAAATTTCAGACCCGAAAGTCTTCTCGGAGAAGGTGGGTTTGGTTGTGTCTTTAAAGGGTGGGTCGAGGAGAACGGAACTGCTCCTGTTAAGCCTGGCACTGGCCTCACTGTCGCTGTCAAAACCTTAAATCCTGATGGACTTCAGGGTCATAAAGAGTGGCTTGTAAGATCTTTCCTTCTGTTTTTTTTTTCCATAACTGTTAAAACTGAGCTTACAACTAAAGGTTCCTGTATGTGTGTTTGCAGGCTGAGATTAATTATCTCGGTAATCTTCTCCATCCCAATCTTGTTAAACTGGTGGGTTACTGTATCGAAGATGATCAAAGGCTGCTGGTTTATGAGTTTATGCCCCGAGGAAGTTTGGAGAATCACCTTTTCAGAAGTAAGGAAAACCTTATATTCTTTTCCCGCATGTTAAATTCTTTCCTTTTTTATGTTTTCGATTTGGAACAAGTTTAAAGATGTTTCTGCTCCATATTGGAAAAGTTGGAACCTTTAGACTCTATATAGCTAAAGTTGGAACCCTAGACTCTATATAGCTAAAGTTGGAACATTGGTACCTAGTGCAATTAGATTGTTTATATTGCTTGATTATATTAAACCACGAATCAATAAATCCATTGTTCTAGTTTTAAGATTCTTTGGTGTATAAAGTGTGTATAAAAGGGCATAATGCTTTTGTATGATTTATCTTCTCAGTTATAATTGATGTTAAATCTTTTCTTTGTGAACTAACTTGTGCTTCCTATTGAAGGGTCGTTGCCTCTTCCATGGTCAATTCGAATGAAGATTGCATTAGGTGCTGCAAAGGGTCTCAGTTTCCTTCACGAAGAAGCTCTAAAACCGGTCATTTATCGAGATTTCAAAACCTCAAATATTTTATTGGATGCAGTATGTTTTCCTCTCCTCTAAATCAACATCTATATATGTACGTCTGTTTCGTTGCCTATAAAGTCTAACCATTTCCCAATTTCAGGACTACAATGCTAAATTATCAGATTTTGGTCTTGCCAAAGATGCTCCTGATGAAGGCAAAACCCATGTGTCTACTCGAGTCATGGGCACCTATGGTTACGCTGCTCCCGAGTATGTAATGACTGGTAAGTCTTGTTTCGGTTTTGCATTTCATTCACTCCTCTGCTTATTCCTTCTCTGTATGGTTGACTATAGAAAGTTAGAAACTGAGTTGGACACGGCCCATTTGATACATATACATCAAAATGTTCATTAATTTTCTTTTGTTGATGCAAAGTGGTACCATGGTGAAACGGGCATCAGTTTTGTTTACTTTGAGATTGTATGTATAACTACTGTCCTCTTTTTTACTCCTTAGGCCACTTGACATCAAAAAGCGATGTTTACAGTTTTGGTGTGGTTCTTCTTGAAATGCTGACTGGTAGAAGATCTATGGACAAAAACCGACCAAATGGTGAACACAACCTGGTTGAATGGGCGAGACCACATCTGCTGGACAAAAGAAGATTCTACCGGCTACTTGATCCGAGGCTTGAGGGTCATTTCTCCGTGAAAGGGGCCCAAAAAGTGACGCAGCTTGCAGCACAGTGCCTAAGCCGTGACTCCAAAATAAGACCGAAAATGAGTGAAGTGGTGGAAGTCCTGAAGCCTCTCCCACATCTCAAGGACATGGCTAGCACGTCTTACTACTTCCAGACTATGCAAGCAGAACGTTTGAAAGCTGTGTCAGGGTCTGGGTCGGGTCGTGGATTCGGGTCAAGAAACGGGCAACCAGTGTTTCGGACTCTGTCCAGTCCTCATGGCCAAGCTGGTTCCTCACCTTATCGTCATCAGATTCCGTCTCCTAAGCCTAAAGGTGCAACTACTTAGATTATATATTGCACTTGCACTCTCAAGCAAACGTCTTTATTTTTAACAGATGTAAAAAACCGATCTAGAAGATATTCTTAACCGGATGATGATTTTAAGGAAAGGCAATTTTTAAAAGATTTGTTCCGAAGACGATCGATCCCAAAGTTGTACGTACGTCTATTTACCTTTTGTGGCGTTATGTTTCTTCGTCTATTGTATAAATTGTTTTTATGTATTATTATTATTTACAATTACAAGTCGTTTTCACTTTTCACAGTCGCTTCACCAATACGCAACATCTATCTTATCAATTACGACTACTACTACTACTACTAGTATAATAAGATACCTACGATGTATCAATCAACAAAAGTATTGGAAAATGTTTAGGTGACATTTTTGCTTTGAAAGTTTGAATTTGTATCCTCTTTATGAGTTTTTTTTGGACTTATCTACTTTGTCCCTTCACATAGACAATCGAATTATTAAAATACAAGAAACAAGAAACATGTCATTATGACAACTTTCCATACGTGAAAATTATTATTCAATTTCTCAAAACTGGGAAAAAGATCCATTTTCATGCGAGCCGCAAGGACCAACGACTTTTATTTCAAAAGAACTTATAGTATGTATAGTTTAAACAATTAATTTGATCAAAAAAAAAAACAATTAATTTGCTTACTTTTTGTCGAATTTTGTTTGATTTGAATATTTCTTGCTTAAACTTTTATCAAATACTAGTTTAAAACATTACATACATACTAGTAGTAATACATTCAAGTTCAACTATTAAAGATTAATGGACCGTTCCAACTTCCAAGTATCCAATCCATCCAAAAGTTGGGTAATCCCCTCCACCTTTTCCCAACAAATACAACTTAATGATATTCAAACAAAATACTATATATTATAATATAACAACAATCTTTTTAATTTTTAATTATCAAGAAACCATACGAATAACAGCTATATAATAGAAGAGACCACATTGTTAGTTTTTGTATTGGCATATCTTAATAATTGTTCAATTGTGACATTTTCTTTGACTTTTCAAATAAATGTTAATCTCCCTCTCTAGTCTCTTACATTGCAAAATGACATATAAAAGGACATTTTATTTTTGCTTTAAACCCAAGTATAAATCTAACCAAAAAGAAGTATCTATCAAGTTTAATAATCTCCAAGATATAATAATAGTACTCAACCCTTGGATGAAAATGTCACACAACTGAATATCTTATAATTAAAAAGGAAATTTCCGAGGAATGTTATTACATGACATCTTGGCATGATCATCTTCTTCATCTTATCTATATAGATACCCCTCCTGCGACTTTCCTCTATTCCACAAACTTACACACAGAGAGAAAGAGAGACAAAGGCAAAGATAAAAGAGGCTGAAACATATAGAATCTTCAATTCTTACTTGTTTGTAAGATTTTAATGGGGAATCTTTTCTGTTGCGTGCTTGTGAAGCAATCGGATGTGGCGATCAAGGAGAGGTTTGGCAAATTCCAAAAAGTTCTTAATCCAGGTCTCCAGTTTGTTCCCTGGGTCATCGGTGATTACGTCGCCGGTACGCTAACTCTCCGTCTCCAGCAACTCGATGTTCAATGTGAAACCAAAACTAAGGTAAGTAACATATTTCTAAACACACATTTGTAATTTACAAATCTCCTTCCTCTTCTAATTTAATTCATCTTTTGACTCTGAAACAGGACAATGTGTTTGTGACAGTGGTTGCATCCATACAATACAGGGTCTTGGTTGACAAGGCAAGTGATGCTTTTTACAGACTCAGCAACCCAAACACCCAAATCAAAGCCTACGTCTTTGATGGTATCTTCTTCTTTGTCCTTCTCGATACAGAGTATTATTATAAGTTGTTGTCTAGGAAAGTGATAAATATTTTTCCGGTCAAATGATTGATTCTTGTCTTGTTTCTGGGGTCTCAGTGATCAGAGCATGTGTTCCAAAACTGAACTTGGACGATGTGTTCGAGCAGAAGAATGAGATCGCCAAATCAGTGGAAGAAGAGCTAGACAAAGCCATGACTGCTTATGGTTATGAGATCCTTCAAACCCTAATCATCGACATCGAGCCTGATCAACAGGTTAAACGTGCCATGAACGAAATCAACGCCGGTAAGTCCCCAAATCTGAAAACCCTGTTGAATACTTTTTTAGTTAGTATTTGGTTTTAAAATCTCCAAAAACAAAATGATTGTTGCAGCGGCGAGGATGAGAGTGGCTGCGAATGAAAAAGCAGAGGCTGAGAAAATCATTCAGATCAAGAGAGCAGAAGGTGAAGCTGAGTCGAAGTACCTGTCGGGGCTCGGAATCGCTCGACAGAGGCAAGCGATCGTGGACGGTCTGAGAGACAGTGTTCTAGGGTTCGCCGGAAACGTGCCAGGGACGTCAGCGAAAGATGTGTTGGACATGGTGATGATGACTCAGTACTTTGACACAATGAGAGATATCGGAGCAACCTCCAAATCCTCGGCGGTGTTTATCCCTCACGGTCCCGGCGCAGTTTCTGACGTGGCAACGCAGATACGAAATGGATTATTACAGGCCAACAATGCCTAGTAGACGACAGAACATACTCAAGTCAAATTTGTCTTCGTCTTCTTGTCTGTATTGTATCTTTTTAAAGTTAATTAATGTAACGGTGTGCTGATTGTGATTTGTCATCTTGTACCCCTATCTCTTTCGTTTTGTGTGACTACAACAAACGCTTGTATCCGATATCCTCTGTACTTGTATGTATCTTAATATTTTATACCATAAATTTTCACTTTGCGACTTGCGAGAGAAAAATCAAATCATCGAGTCCGGTGGACTTTGCGGCTACTACCAAGTTTTACCTTATCGACAAAACGCGTGGGCCTGAAACGAAGCCCATCTCATTCAACTCTCTGGTCCACTTACTTGACGCACATAACCATCTGTGCGCAGTTTTCATACCTGGAGGCTGAAGCTGTAGCTGAACCGAGTGATAGAGAAATTAAAAGAGAAATTAAAAGAGAAACAAAAGAGATTTTTTTTTAAGGGTTTCACCACATCCATCTCAAGATGATCCTTTTTCAAAGTTTTATTCTTCTACAATCCAACAAGAAAATGGGAAAGATCAGTAGTAGCCATGAGCCAAGCAGAGCAAAACAGAACGTAGAAAGAAACTAGTTAAAAAGCTATAGCAACTTCTTCTTCCATCTCAGTTTCAAGGCTTGAGTGCGAGGGCCAATCCAACTCTAGCATTCTTGTCAATGGCCTTTGTGTCGACTTCTCCGGAGATTGTGAAGAATGACTTGGGCCTCCACTCATGTTGAATGAGTGCACTGGCAATGCCCGCACTATTGACACGTGCTTTCACAGAGGTCAAGGGGTCAAGCGAGTGCTGTGTTCCCACAGTTATGGTGTTGTCTTTGCTAGAGAACTTGTGGCTCACTTCTGCTCCAACCGCGGTGTTGAAAAGCGGGTTCACAATGTGATAGTACGACGCATTCAATAGATCGCCTTTCTCATTCCTAACAAGCAGAAAAATATAAGGGTATTAGAAGAAATCAATGAGAAAACCTTATTTAATCCAAATGTCGCACTAAAAATCACTTACACGGTAAGGGAGGCAATTAGGTCATCCTTGGTGAAGCTTAAACCAGCATTGATCTTGGTGAAATTTCCAGACTTGGTGTCAAATGAAACATCTGTACCAACAGCCAAGACATTGGTGCCAATAACACCAGAGAAGTTGACAGTTGGGTTCTGAGTCAATCCCATGCTAGTGCTGATACCAGCGTAGTCATGCAAGTATTGCAGCTCAATCTGGTCAAAAGATGAAACAGGATAAAAAACGTGAAGCTAACTCTCAACTGATGAAGCCTGAAAACTATGCAAAGACAAATGTTTGTGTAGTTATCACAACACAATACCTTGCCAGAATTTTGGTCAGGAGCCTTGAAGCTGAAGATTGACTTCAGTCCGGGTGCAGCCTCATCAACCGTGGCAGTGATCAGGACCTGAAACCAAAACACACAAAATTATAAGGTGAGTAATCCAGCAAACAAAGAGGAAACTATAACTCAAATTACAAAAAGAAAAAAAAAAGAAAAGGAGATGACATTGGGTAGAGGTATGTACTTACGGTAGAATCAGTGCAAACTTTGAAATCAGTAGTAACATTCTTTTGCCTGGATTGAAAAGCTACATCTCCCAACAATAGGTCACCTTTCTTAGTTCCGGATGAGGTGATGGCCTACAAAGAAAGAAGTAAATGGCAATGCTGATTTCAACACATATCTCACAGACGTAAACTGAAAGCTAATCAGTAAGACAATAGTAGAAGCACACTCGATTCAATTACAAACCAATCATCTAGAAAATAAAATCTCAGAGAGAGAGTGAAAAAAACAAGAAGTGAAGAAACTTACAACACCGGCAGGAGAGTAGGTGGTGATACTGAATTTCTGGTCGCTGTTGTGATCCCTGTAAAGAAGATCTGCAAGTACACAACAATTAGACATACAACGCTAAACATAAGAGACAGAGGGAGAGAGAGAGATTACAGTATTGAAATTGACAATCAAAGCAAAGCAGACCAACGATGAACAAATCGAAACCAAATTCGAGGGAAGACGAGTGAAGGGGACAGGGAGATACTCAATATATCAGCACCGATAATAATCGAAATCCATCACATTTGAGTCTCTCTTTCCGATTGAAATCTACGCATGCATCTAGATGAAAAAAAGTCTCGAAGAGAAGAACAAAGGATTCATAAAATGATAAGAAATTTCAGGAAGCCATAGACAAACGGAACCCTAATTAGATCGTCTAGGGCACAAACAGTTTCAATTCAACGAACGAAAGAGAATAAAATAAAATACCTCTGGCTTTTTTGCCGATTTCGGTGTAGAGACCAGGACCTTTCACCATTGTTGCTTCTCTGTGGAAGGAAGAAAGAAAGTTCGAGGAGGTTCGAATCGGAACAGAGAGAGAGACAGAGCTTGGGGGAGGAGATGTGTGGGGGGCGTCGTCTCTCCAAGTATAAGAGATTTGATAGAAAACCCTAATTTTTATTTTATTTTATTAAAAAAAATATATTTTTCCCTGATTAATCTCAGAATAGAGTTTTTTTTTTCCTGTTAATCAAGCAAAATTCTATGAGCCGTAGGATGGAGACTGTCTGCTTCAGTTTTCCTTATCCACAGCCGTCCATTCTATTTATTTATTCCCCTCTGACCAATACTAAAATAAAATACTCCTAGTATCTCCTCCGGACCTCCAGTATCAATCATCTATCTATTAAGCGGCGTCGTTTCCTTTCCTCTTCAGTTTTCTTACCTCGCATAAAAATGAGGAAATCGTTTAATTTTTTCCCCATTAAATTGTCACTCATCTTATTTAACTACTCCAAGAAACAAGATTAGTACAAAACATAAACTATTACGACGTGAAATTAAAGGCTCACCGATCACTTACAAAAATGTCTTTCCGAGGTAAGTCAACGAAATTACTAGGATTCAAAAAAAAACAACTTCAAATTCCAGACAAATCATGATTTATTATTGATTGATTCATATACAGATTTTTAGGTCAACAACAACTATGCCTTTTTTTGTTGACAATAACTAGTATTCTAGCTGACAGGACAGTGCCTTCAAAATGCATGAATGCGAATTAGAAAGTGATTGTTTGTGTTGCTAAAATCAGTTGGAAAGCTTGGCAGACCAAATATAGAAAAGAAACAAAACAAGGGGGGAAATGGGCAAATTCAATACTTGAAAAGAAGAAACAAAGAAACCTGTCCACAAGTAATATATGGTGGCGTCCCATACATAACGGACAAACTTTCTAAATATAGCTAGAAGTCAACTTTTCTTTTCAACTTTTCATTATATTATTTAAACACCAACCTTGACGTTTCTCAAACTTCGCAATACGATTCATCTACCCAAAATAAACAGGCTTTAGGCCAAAACTCAAATAACCACCTAAAGCCATGTTTAAAGCTTAGCAGTTCTCCATATATATTTCAATATATATATATATATATATAAAGATTACCCCTTTAAGAAAAAAAATATTTAATATAAAAATTGTTTTCTGTGTGAAAAAAGGGGTAATCATATTCAATGGAGACGGCTAGGCTTTTGAAGTTAGTGTGTGTGATTTGTATTGCCAGTTTCATTCCGACCATACGAGCCAATGTTCCCGAGACCGATGAGTACTGGGTAAATAAGGCCAACGAAGCTCGTAAACATACCCTTATGGCTTATCATCCTGATCCTTATGATATCGTCGACCACTTCCACGAGCGTCATTACGAGTAAGCCCGTTTTATATGTTTTTGCATTCGACCCGATTTGTTCTAGTTCAAACTTCACAAAAGGTTTAGGAATTTGGGCTCATACAATGGTTTTTTTGGTTTGGTGTATATCTTCAGCAACTCTACCGATGTCGAAGAGACCGAGGAAGACAAGGCGGTCGATTCTGCGGAAGAGGAAGACATTGAGATGATTTCTAGTCCGACAAACAGCACAAGGCGCAGCCTAAGCGGTAAGCGCAGGGGAAGAGGAAAATGGAGCAAGCTAAGGGGACCTTGCACCGCAAGCAACCCCATTGATAAATGCTGGCGTTGTCAGCCCGACTGGGCCAAGCGTCGCAAGAAGCTCGTTCATTGCGTCCGTGGGTTTGGTTACAAGGTCACGGGAGGCAAACGCGGTCGCATCTATGTGGTCACGAGCCCCAGAGACGATGATACGGTGAACCCTAGACCTGGGACACTACGTCACGCTGTGATACAAAAAGAACCGCTCTGGATCATATTCAAGCACGATATGAGCATTAGGTTAAGCCAAGAGCTGATGATTGCTAGTCACAAGACGATCGATGCTCGTGGCTCTAACGTGCACATCGCATATGGTGCGGGTATCACGATACAGTACGTGCACAATATCATCATCCATGGGCTTCACATCCATCACATTGTGAAAAGCAGTGGCGGGTTGATAAGAGATTCGATCAACCACTTTGGACAAAGAGGACAGGCTGATGGAGATGGGATCTCCATCTTTGGGGCAACCAACATTTGGCTTGACCACATTTCTATGTCCAGATGCCAAGATGGCCTCATTGACGCTATAATGGGCTCAACCGCAATCACCATCTCTAACTCTCATTTCACCCATCACAACGATGTGAGCTTTTCACCATAGGAAACCCTAATTAATTATAATTGATGAAAACTCAAGCTAACTAATTAAATGAACATGTCATGTTTGTGGGTTTTGTCTATAGGTGATGTTGCTCGGTGCACAAGACAACAACCAGGATGACAAGAAGATGCAAGTCACAGTGGCTTACAACCATTTTGGTAAAGGACTTGTGCAGAGGATGCCTAGGATCCGATGGGGATTCGTCCATGTTGTCAACAACGACTACACTCATTGGGAGCTTTACGCCATTGGAGGTAGCCAAGGTCCTACCATTCTCAGCCATGGAAACCGTTTCATCGCTCCTCCTCACAAACCCCATTACAGAGAGGTACGAAACATTAATTTGTAGGGCGTGCATCAAATCTTGAGGTTAATTTTTGTAAAGCTAATAGAAACATGTGCCCCTATATATATAGGTGACAAAGAGGGATTACGCTTCAGAAGGTGAATGGAAACACTGGAACTGGAGATCCGAGAAAGATTATTTCTTGAACGGAGCACACTTCAGAGAGTCTGGAAATCCTCATTTCAAGTGTTCGCACTCTAGGCAACAGATGATAAAGCCCAAACATGGTGTCGCGGTTTCAAAGCTTACCAAATACGCCGGAGCATTGGATTGCCGGGTCGGAAAAGCATGCTAAAATATATATAAAGCTCACTACTACTTTTTTCTCTTTGTATCCTAGGCCTATATTTCTCTTATTTATATATGAACTGACAAAAAAAGAATCATGGGGAAAGAAATGGAAATTATTCTTAAAAATTATAAAAGTCTCTGTGTAAAGAATATATGCGAAACGGCTGGATACTTTGTAACTCTAATTTGTTTGTGTATGTTTTGATTGTGCTCGTTCATTTTTTCCTTCTTTTTGTGCAAATATGAAATACCAATTAAAAACATAGAATTAAGGTGATCGATTAAAAACAAACAAATTTTAAGACTTGACAAAATAAGCATATCATGGTAGCTAGATTCAAAAGAATCGCTCTCCAACGTACATTCCCTAAACCAAAGAAATTTATATTACATTGCATTTGTATATATATACCAAATAATAATTTTAACTGCAGAGGATATGATTGATTAGTGTTCAGTGACGAAATCTTACTGAAACGTTAAAAATCTATATTAATATTTGCTATGTTTGAAATTAATTATCTATCATGGTCATATTTAACAATATCATTAAAACATGTGCGTGAATGACGAAAAAGGCACAACCAAGATAAATAATCACAAATAACACACAGGTAAGTGTTTGTGGATCATACACAAAATAAAACAATTACGCTAAGATATTGCTGATATTGTCGAAGATCTCAGCATTATTATTTAAAACTATTTTCTCTAAAATCAGCGATTATTTTTATTTATTTATTTTTGGTAATCATAGTAAAGAGGATAAATACTAGGTAAATTAAATACTCAATAATTTTTCCAAATACATATGATTATTTTGCGTGAATTTTCCAAATATGATTTGTTTTGTTATGTATGTTTAACAAAAAAAAAATTCTCATTATGCGTAATATTTTCAATTTTGAAAATCGAAATATGACATTTAAAAATATGATGTCAGTTTAATGTCAGTTTCATGGGAATATACAGTATGCGCTACTAATTCGTTAGACGATGACGATATAATATTTAATGATTAAATTGGACATGCTCAAAGATAGTGTAGTTACTAATTACAAAAAGATTCGTTACACTACAATCATCATAACCATTGATACATACATGTAGATATGCGTCTGGTGTGTGTGACGAGATTTTTATTTTGTTAATTAATGAAAAAAAGGTTACTAGATGATTATGGTAATTAAATATTGCTGATGATTCTCTGGTTCTAAGTTTTCTTGAGCAACTTGACAATGCGTTTAACGGTAGACATGAACTCTTTCTCCTTCTCCGGAACCACCGAGTGATAAGCATTCTCCTTCCATGCTCTGTAGAAGAATGATTCTTTCTCAACGAATATGTTTGCTTCGTTGGTGTTGTACTTCCCGTTCTTGAGAGAATCTGATATTTCATCAAGCAGCGATTCACATTTCACCAGAGAGCTCAATTCGCTTTTCATATCACCAGTTGATTCCTTCTTCAACGTTTTCAGCTCCCCAAGCATCTTCTTGGCCTTCTCAATTTCCTTTAGGAGATTTTTTTTGGACTCTTCTTTCATGACTTCTATTTCTTCTTCTCCTTTTAATTTTTTCAGGGTCTCGGGTTTTACATCGCGGAGCTTCACTAGCTTCACGTCTCTCGCTGCAGCTTCCTCGATGTTGCATCCCAATGCGATGACTAGAGCCACAATTAGGCCTGACAGTACAAAAGATTTATGTGCCATTGTATTATTGTTTCAAGTTGAAGGCAAGTTAATCTTCCAGCTGCCTCAAATATATGAGGGGAAAGAAACTTTTATTTCGGTGGTAGCCCTTTACGCGAAATACATTATCCAAAAGTAGAAGGTTAAATTTGATGTTTTTTATAGGTAAATTTCTATTAATATATAAAAATTTTGGATTACCTGACTTTAGAAAATATTTTTGTGGATAACCAAAGAAGGTTGAGGAACCAATTACGTACATACTATTATTAGTCACAAATAATGGTATAAGATACCCCAAAAAACAAAACAAATGAACTCACATCTCTTCTCGCCGCTTTGCCTTTAACAAATTATTTTGAATCTAAACTTTCAAATTGATTTGTTAAGGGGAAGATTTGAGCTCTAAATCATGGCAAAGATCTCCTTCTTGCTTTTCGCTGTGGCCCTTATGGCCTTTCTCCACGCCTACGAAGCTCGCCACGTGGTAAACTTGGGTGAATCATTTGAAAAGGACTTGCATAAAGCCGAGGCCAGGATCAAGGAAGAGTTGAAGGCCAAGAAAATGAACATTCGAGGTTTGACATCTGAGGTGAAAACTTTGAGCAAATCCGAAGTGGTGTTGAATGAACTTGGAGATGCTTACAAAAAGGACAAGAACTTAAAGCCTTACGAGAAGAAACTCAAAAACTTCAGCAAGATTATAAACCTTAAGAAAGCACCAGCACCACCAGCTGCAAAAAAGAAGAAATCTGAATCCATCATCCAAACGATTTTGAAGGACTTTGGATTAAACGGAGGGAGGAATTGACACACACAAAGATCAAATAAATCATATATATTAGGGTGTGATTAAGGGTTTTATGTGTTTTAAAAGGAGGTTTGAACTCGGCCATGGAGTTTAGCTTTTACGAGTGAGAGGAGCGAATAATTCTCCCATATATGGTATATATATTAGTTGCATCATGTTGTATCTAATACAATTGAATGAAATATTAATACTACTTACTATTCATGATATCGTAATATATTCCCATACGATTTTTAATTATAATAGTTTGTTGATACAAAAGTTGACAAAAAAAATAAAAATAACTAACAATAATTTAGAAAATAATGAAAACTAAGATCGCCCATATGAATATAATTCATAGAGTTACAGATCAAAACATGAAATATACAGATCAACACAAATACACAATCATGTACTCCTCGACAAAATCTTCGATAGTCAATTAGTCATAGCCTCATAGGTTAGAAGATATGGGAAATTAATCCGCCCTATTACACATGCCAAATTAACTACTACTCCCTAGTCCCTATATCGAGTAACAACTATATGACCGTTGTTTTTTTTTAAACTAGTGACCGTTTTGTAGAATTTAACTTTTGTAATTTTGTTTCCCTAAAAAATACTATTGTTTTGTATTTCCCATACAGAGTTTTAAACAAAATCCAGCTTTATCACTATAATCAGCGGTCTAACATTATGTAACTTATTAATTAGAGATGTAATAATAAAAAAACTAATAGTATTTTACTTTATATTAGGGAAAAAATAACAAGCTCCTATATTTCTCAATAAATATATATGACCTACACAGTGCTTATAGGCAAACCTTTGAGGCAACTGCATATATAGGACCTTAATCTCATGCATGGTTTATATTTATCTCATGAGTCCTTTGGCCTATTTGGGAAAGTTTTGCTTTGAATTGTTCAGCTTCCCATATATAAATTGATTTAGTTGATTCATCCATGGCTGTTATACCAAAAAGCTCTAAAGATAGAAGAAATCAAGAATCTTTATTTTTTGACTTCCCCTTTTTTTTTGTTATTGCGAATTTTGTGGGTGACCAAAGAAAAATAAGTAACGGAGTCAATACCGTTGACCATCAAAATATGGGATACATTTTACAATACTATTTTTACGCAGAGACAAAACTATAAATGCTCAAGGAAATAAACACACGAACTTACTCCTCTCATCGAAATATTTTCCTTTTAACAAAACTATATAATTTGAAATTATTTCAAATTAAGTTGAGGGAAAATTAATCAATAGAAAAATCATGGGAAAGATCTCCTTTGTGCTTCTCGTTGTCGCCCTTATTGCCTTTCAACATGTCTCAGAGGCTGATCATCAACCGGTAGATATCAACGAAGATCAGTCGGTAAATATCAACAAAGATCAGTCGGTAAATATCAACGAAGACCTAATCGAAAACGATTTGCACAAAGCCAAGGACTTGATCGAGGAGGACTTGAAAGAAAAAGAAACGAACATCAAGAACTTGGAAAACGAGGTGGTTTTGTTGACCAAATCTGAGACGATGCTCACTCAGCTCGAGGATGCTTACAAGAGTGGTAAGACTGGTAAGAGTCTTGAGCGTTTCGGGAAAAAACTCAAGAAGTTCAACAGGAAGATCAAGCAGGCGCCTGAGCAAGTGAGATATGTTTCCATTATCCACTCCATTCTCAAGGACTTGGGATTAAACAAAGGGAAAAATTAAGACAATATCTAATAATCTAACTATTAGGGTTTCTGATGCGTTTCTGAAAGGAGGTTTCCAATATTAATCGACCATGGAGTAACTAATGGCTTTAAAAAGTGAGAGGAGCAAATAACTTGCCCATAGGCCATATATAGTATACATATTTACATATATTTAATTGCATCAATTGAATACTTAAAATCAATTGTAATTTACAATTAAATGGAATGTATTACTACTACTAATACTGTGAAGGTACTTTTATTTTAAGATTTTGTTAAATTTAGTTATGATCACAAATGTATCTTTAAAAAATAGTTACAGAAATATATCAAAGCATTATGAGTAGATATGAATGATATCTATTAAATAACATGTATGTATAATACTATAGTCTTACTTTCTAAAAATTACTAAATTAATTATAAAAGAAAAAGAAAAAAAAGACGAACAAGATTCGTCTCAAAGAGAAAGAACCCAAAAGAAGAGTGAACTCTTTCAAACACTCACTGTTTCCACTTTTGTTTTCTTCTTTTTGGTCTGTTCTTCTTTGTGTTTTGGAACGTCTGCTTTTTAATACTCTTCATTCTTTCCAATCTTCAACGTAATTATTTGAAGAAGGGATACGATAGTGACCATGACACATATTTGGTTGACAAAATTGTTTTTTTTCTTTCTTAAAGTAATGTAGGATAGCTCTGACTGAGTGATTTTAAAAAGTTAGCTCACAACAACAATTCACAACCATCGAATAGATTTGACTCAAACATTTTAAACCAACAAAGAATATATATGTGAAGATCAGGGGATGAGTTTACACTTTGTTTTGGCTTGAACGTGAATATTTGGTTTGTACGTCGACGCATGGGTTTTTTTCTTTCAAATGGTTCCATTAGATTGAGATTTAAATTGCAACTTGCAAAGATAAACTATTTTAAAACTCTATGCATTATAATATAAGTCATGGATCATGTTACGTCAATGACAGAGCTGGAATCCCACTCGAAGTCACATGCATATGAATCTTTCTCACTTTTATATCTTTTTTTTCTTAATTAATTCGTACCAACCCATATAAAATATATATATGCTGAGGAAACCATGATTTTTAATCTCAGTAAAATGTATTTTGCTCATAGAAAGAAAAAAAGATTTTACTTTATTTATTAAATTAATGCAACAACAAATTTTCGCACTATACATGCACCAATGCTCTACAAAGTACAAACCCCAAAGAAAACAAAATGAACAATTTAAATATAAAAAGAGTAGCAATGATTCCAAAGAGTCAAATTCAAAGAGATAGATTGTGAAGATGATGATGATGATTTTACTTAAGAGGTTTAGGATGATGCATCAGTTGAATTGGTGGTGGTGGTGGTTGTGGTTTGGGTCAGACCATGCCCAGTAACCAGCCGAGGAGGTCGTTTCATCAATGCCATTGAACATGTTACAAAGGCTTTCTTCTTGAACTATTTCGTGATTCTGGTCATCATCACGATGTGCAGATGATCGAATCGATGAAGGGAAAAGGTCTTTGATAGTGTTCACATGTGTCGTAGTTGTCTCTCTTGGCAACTCCAGATTTATGTCTGAGCTGTTCTCTGTGCTTCCATTGTTGCTCCATGAGGCTTCTGCTTCTCTCTTTATTATGTTTCCTTCATTACATTCCTTGTTCTTCAAAGCCATCACCTTTGATCATCGCACACAATTCAAGTGTTAAGTTATAGTTTAAACAAGATATAACACCTTCATTTATTATCGTTTTAACTTATTTTGCTAATTGTAAGACTCCAGAACTTACGAAATTTACTTACTTTAGAAATTAAGAAAAAAATCTTCTAACGTACGACTTTAACTTTCCGATAATTAATAAAAATCATTTAAAACACTCAAAAATGATATATAATAAAGTCCAACTATAAAGTATTCTTCTTAGTGCTTCCTACACATGCCATTACTTGATAGTCATATGGGAATGTATTAACATATATATTGATCAAGAATCCTTTATTTAATAAACTAAACACCTACTGTCTTTTGACAAACATCTTATAGTGTTGGATCATGTGCCTAGCAATAATCTATTGCATTCCGTATTTAATGACTCTAATCCTACTTACACCCACAATTATACATATTCACACACACATATAAACCGGATTAATTGTATCAGTCCAAGCCAAAAATCAGAAAACCGTTTGTAGTAGTAAAATTCATTTCTACGTTGGTTATTACTTATATAACTAGTCATGTAACTGAAAAAAAAGAATCAAATTATTAGAACTGTGAAAGTTGAATTAAAGATTTTACGATATAAACACATACCTCAGCAAGGAGTTTCTTGTTGTAGGCAAGTAGAGAATCATTGTCGGATTTAAGAGACTCAAACTGTTTCTTGAGTGAGTCATAATCTCTCTCGAGCTGTCTAGTCTTCCACCTAGCTCTCCTGTTTTGAAACCAAATCGCGATCTGCCTCGGTTGCATCCCTAATGCTTTAGCTAGTTGTATCTTCCTCTCTGGCTCCAGCTTGTTCCCAAGCTCGAAGCTCTTTTCTAATGCCTTAACTTGCTCTAACTGCAGTCTCTTTTTCTTCTCTCCAAGCATAGTATGTGCTCCATCGTCTGATAGATTCTCCTCATCCAAGGTTTGATTATGATCTTCTTGCACGTTCATTAAAGACATAGATCTGTTCATCATGTAGTTTCCTCCTCCTATATCCACCAAGAAGACAACATAATTCAAGAATACTTTAAATCTATCTATATATGCAAAAAGATAGATAGAGAGAGAGAGAGCTATAGTGAGTACCATTGAAAAGGTGAGGAGGACAGGAAGGAAGTTGATCTTGACTAGTGTCTTCATGAAGTTGTTGGAACATAAAACCATGTTGAGGAAACGCCATCTCCAAACTCAATCCTGCGTCTGCGTCTGCGTTTGGATCAAACACATACATGTATATACATATAAAGTATAACTCCAATGATAGATCACTGATTATGCTCCTATATGATGGAATTTGAAGCAAATCTAGTGATGATCAAAGGCTTTGCTTTATACAAATTTGGAAATCAGTGACAAATGAATGTGGAGTTTCTTGTGGATCTCATCAACCTCTCATATAAAAGAAAGAGAGAGAGAGAGAGAAAGAGACGAGGAGGAAAAGATCAAGTTAGAGAGGTTTCTAGGACCCATCCTTTGTATTAATAAAGCTTAGGCATATATTATTATTATTCATATATTTTCAACTTCATGTATAAAATTAATTCAAATATATATTTTATCATATAGTATCTCTATAGTTTCTCATAAACATACACGTAATGACATGTAACGTTACTAATAATATCTTTCTTCATGATGTTTTTATCTCACAAGTCACAAGTCACAACCCTTAAAAGTTATAACCTCACATTTAATTATGTTTTCAAACGAAGACCAAAGGTCAACCGCTTCCTCCTCCACCCATATGGGCCGCAGCTTTTGCAGCCCGGCCCAAAGCATCTGAGAACCATAAAGCCCCATTAGCAAAGTATCGACTGTTCACCACACTAGTCGCTGCAGCCGCAGCCGCTTTACCTGTGATGGTGGCTGCTGCCACAGCAGCAGTTCCTGTGACAAGAACTGCGGATTTTGTGAAATCAGAGAAATGATATTTCTCGTCGGCTGATCTCACGAGTTCCATACTCGACTGAATGTTCTGTGTGAGGCCAAGGTAATGGCTGATCTCTGCCAATTTGGTCGCTACCAAGCTTGAGAATCCCTGAGACTCATCCAACACTTTGGCTTTACCGATGGCGTCTTTGCTTAGAACGTATCCTTTAGCTATCATTGTCTTTACAACTTGTTGAGCCACGGTTATAACTTCTCCAGGCGATGAAGCAAAAGCATCTGAACGAGTCGCCTTTTGACCTCTCAAGAAAACAAAAGAGATTTTGAGAGTCTTCTAATTGACGACTTAGCTTGTAACCAAAGTAATCTAGTAAGTTCTGCTTTTGTTACCGTTACACTATAGTCTTCTTCTTGTGTGAGATGGTTAGGTTCATGTAAATAGACACCATACATTGATATCGAAACGGTTTGATCAACGATCGTAGCTCCCTGAAAACGTTAAAATCAAGACCTACCTGCGAGGATATAATTTGAAAATTGGGAAGGTTTCAGGGACTTACGCTAAGCAACACAGCCATATGGAGAGCATACGCATCTCTGAAGGTAACATAAGCCGTTGACGCATCCCCTTGGTACCTGAAATACATGGAGACACATTAAACAAGAATCCAAGAATGAAAAATATTAAAAAAGTATACTGTAAACATTGTTGTTATTAAATTACCCGGTGATCTGGACAAGCTCGACGATTCCACAATGAGAAAAGAAAGTGTGAACATCTTTCTCAGTGGCTCGAGGAGACAAGTTGGTGACTTCAGCAACGTAACCACAAGGATACATTGTTCTGTTTTCTCTGATTGATACCTAAATCAACACAACCCAGATTCTTAAAAGAAGATTCCTTGAGATTTATACAGCAAGAAACACACATAACTACGATTAGGCGTCATTATCCAAATTATAAAGTGGTATTTATCTGATTGCAGAGAGAACAGAGTGATAACCCTAAATTAATAATTGAATGAAGTAACGGTAACCAAAGAGAGAAAGTGCTTCGATAATCAACCAAAGTACCAAACCAAACAATCGGAAACTTCGAGAAGCCACAGGGCACCACAAAAACTCGATAGTGTGTGTGTGTGTCTCTCTATCTTAGCTTACCCGAATTTTTAACTTAAGGCATCTGTAACTGATGAGAAAAGTCACAACAGATTGAAGAAGAGCAAACGAAAGAGACGGAGAAGAAGAAGAACACAGAATTCGCGTGATTGTGAGAGAAAGAATTTTCACCTTTTTTTCTTTTCTTTTGTTTCTTGTCGGCACGGTATCGATGTTGTGGACGACGAGAGGCTGCTCTTATATTGGTCCCACGAGACACGAGTTCTGTTTTTTTCCTTTTTTAATTATTGGGCTTTTAAAAGGCCTTATATCTGTTTCTAAAGCCCAAATAATAGTTCCGTTAATTCTATTATTATCCCATGTCAAAACGCTGAACAAAAGTGTTGGAACTTGGAACGTTTAAAACAAACAATCAAAGCGGTCACAATGCGTTTGGGCCGCCGTAATTGGATAAATAATTAACGCGGGCGAAAGAAGGTGAAATCGTAACCGTCGCTCATAGAAAAGTAAAGGAAAGAAAAGAGAGCTATCATCTTTGACGATGAGCCTACACGGCGTCTCAGGCCATCCCGAACCTCCTAATCCGACAGATTCGTCGAGCCCTTCGACTCCGAAGATGAAGATTAGTCCCAAATTGAATCGCTGGTCCATGGGCAGAGCTCTTCGATCCGGTGTTAAGCTCGACCGTCCAATTCACCGTATCTATAACACGCATTGCCGTCAGGCATCGGAACCCAAACAGAAGGAGGATGATAAGAAGACGTCAACAATTGACGTGGAGACGACGGCGGGAAAGTCTATCTATTTGATTTCCGACGGGACAGGGTGGACGGCAGAGCACTCCGTTAACGCAGCTTTGGGGCAATTCGAAGATTTCTCGGTGAACCGTGGGTCTTCCGTCAACACTCATCTCTTCTCCTGGGTAAAAACCAATCTTTTTTTTTGTTTTTTACATTATTAACAGGGACTTGTAATTATAGATCATTGGAGCAAAAAATTAGAACTTTGATCCTTGTACCTAAATTGTCAGGTTTTGTGAGTTGAGATGAGTTAGGTTTTGGAACTGTCACGTAGGGGATGAGAATAAGCTAATTCCATGTTGACAGTCTTTCAAATTTTATATTCCATTGAGCTTCTATTGTCTGGAAGTTGCAATTAGTGATCATAGGAGCAAACATGACTTTTAAAAACCGAAATTGTTGGGGTTTGGGAATGGTCATGACTTTGGTTTGGCTTGGCGATTTTTTAGGTTGAGGATGAGGATAAGCTAGCAGAGATTATCAAGCAGGCGGCAAAGGAAGAGGCAATGTGTTTCTACACTTTGGCGAATCCTTCTATGGCGAAATCTGCAAAACAAGCCTGCGATCAATGGGGTGTTCTTTCTGTCGATATTCTTGGACCAATCATCGAAGGGATTGCGTCTCACTTAGGCGTTTCTCCATCAGGTCTTACCCGTGGAGCACCTGGTAGGGTCAAGACTCTCAATGATGCATATTTCAAAAGGATTGAAGCCATTGAGTTTACCATTAAGCAAGATGATGGGACTTTGCCCGAAAACTTAAGCAAGGCTGATATAGTTCTAGTTGGGGTTTCTCGCACAGGGAAGACGCCATTGTCGACTTACATAGCTCAGAAAGGGTACAAAGTTGCAAATGTACCGTTTGTGATGGGCGTGGAACCACCCAGGACACTCTTTGAGGTTGAACCAAGAAAGGTTTTCGCTTTGAAGATTCAGCTCGTTGTACTGCAAGCAATTAGGAGAACAAGGGTAAAAACTTTAGGCGTAGATACAGAGGCAGAGAACAATTATTCAGGGATCGATCTTGTTCGGAAAGAACTGGATTTCGCGTCAAGGATTTATGCGGAAAACCCTGGATGGGCTGTGATAGGTAAACAACACTTAAACACCGTTCTCATTTGCTACTCAAATACTGTTTTTATTTTTCTTTTTTTCTTTCAATGTTAGCAACAAAATGGTTTTCAAGTAGGCAGTATTTCTCTAGTAATTTTTCTTGCGGTTGTGGACGTGGTTGCAGATGTGACTAATAAGGCGATTGAAGAAACCGCGGCTGTGATTATGAGGCTCTACCATGACGACGGTAGAGACAGTAGTACTTCAGTACCGCGTATCTCTAAACGCTACTAAGCCCAGCCCCCTCCCTTGACCGTAGATCATGAAACAGTTTGGTAGCATTTCTTAAAAAGTAGAAATTTGTATAAAGTGTAATAATTGTCTGTAATAAATCAATATCAAATAAAACCGAAGGGAGGAATGATATGTTTTAGTCAAATAAAACCGTCTCCTGACGGGACTCGAACTAGAAAGGAGCTGCACCTTCCTCCTAAAGGGGTTGTACATGCCACTCACTAGACAGACCCTCTCCTCTTGGATAAGATTTAATACAAACCTGTGATTTGTCTTATTATAGTATATGGTAATAGAACAATAGTCTATATATATAACAAAAGAATAACTATCATCATCAGCAAAAAGATGAAACGTTGCAATGTGGATGTGTTGGCAAGTTGATAAGCGTTTCTGGATTCCATCGTGAAAGACAATTTTATTTTATTTTAATTTAGAGGATGCTGACAGATGGATGATGGCGGTAGTTTTAAAAGGTTAAACGTTGCGGTCAAATGATTGGTCTAATTGGAAGAACATGCACGAAACATTACAGGGGAACTTATATAATGCATGGATGCCTCATGCATGTGGTGGATCAAATAATTGTTTTTCGATTACGTCCAAAGATTAAACATTCATTCATATATATATTTGCGTATGAAGATATTATTAATCTACTTAATAAGATACAAACTCAAATTTAATTAAGTTCTTCCATCGGTTAGCAAAGCAATTTCCCCGAACTATAAGGCAATTAAGTAATATCAATGCAATGTTTTTAAGTTTTGGCTTCATCCAATCCATAGGTGTCTTTCTCTTGTTAGAGGAACTGTAGTTGTCTTAGTGACGTAAAGACACGAAATTTTGCAATTTTTAAAACCCAAATTGTATTTTATTTTTACTTAAAAAGAATTTTAGGCAGCCATTTGTTTTTTCTGGTAGCAATATATATACACCATATACATAAGAAGAAGAAAAATACACGTAGATATTATATACACAAACATACATATATTCTATACACAAATATAGTACGACTTTTGTCAATTTGCCTTCTTTTTATTCATACAAACAATGATTGCTACTAAGAACAACAAAATTACAACAAGCATTCCACCGCAGACCAATGATGGTCAACTACATTTTTATGTTAATTAATTTCAATGTTCTAACCACAAACACTTATAATATTGCAATTTTCGTTTAAACTACTTACGTAATTGAGTTATAAATAACTTCGATCTTCATCAACAATTCATCATCAATTTAGCAAAGAACTAAAGTCCAAAGCTACAAGCTAAAGAGACAATTAAAAAAAAATGGCCGCTTCTAAGCAACTAATTGTCTCTTGCTTGTTCTTAGTGCTGTTGTTTGCTCAAGCCACTTCGCAAGGCTTGAGAGTAGGTTTCTACAGCAAAACATGCCCACAAGTCGAGGGTATTGTGAAAAAGGTCGTGTTCGATGCAATGAAGAAAGCCCCTACACTTGGTGCTCCTTTGCTTAGGATGTTCTTCCACGACTGCTTCGTTCGAGTAAGTTTTATGTAAAGCGTGAAGTGACTCATGACTTTTATATTTTTTCATCACGTCACGTTTGCTTAACAATGTGAGATTCCTAGAAAAATGATTAATTTGTTGTATCATCTATCGTCGATCTAATGTGTGGATCTTTATAATTAATTAACAGGGATGTGACGGATCAGTTTTGTTAGACAAATCGAACAACCAAGCCGAGAAGAGTGCGATTCCTAACCTAAGCCTTCGAGGGTTTGGCATCATAGACGATTCCAAGGCGGCTCTAGAAAAAGTGTGCCCGGGTATTGTTTCTTGCTCTGATGTCTTGGCACTTGTCGCCAGAGACGCAATGGTTGCAGTAAGTAATCTTCACATAAATACAAAATTATTTCTACATGTATACACGTACAAAAAAGAGCTCTCTAAATTTACTATGAATATGTAAATTTGTAGCTTGAAGGACCATCGTGGGAAGTTGAAACGGGAAGAAGAGACGGTAGGGTTTCCAATATCAACGAGGTCAACTTGCCATCACCTTTCGATAACATCACCAAGCTTATCACGGATTTCCGCTCAAAGGGCCTCAACGAGAAGGATCTAGTCATTCTTTCTGGTACGTAAAAGTGTTAGTCTAAAAAGTGAATAATGAGAAATCTTGTTTTGGTAGTGATATTGATATATGGAAAATACACATGTTTTTTTTTTCTATAGGTGGACACACTATTGGAATGGGACATTGTCCTCTATTGACAAACCGGCTTTACAACTTCACCGGAAGAGGAGACAGTGACCCGAGTTTGGACTCGGAGTACGCCGCTCACCTCAGGAAGAAGTGCAAGCCGACCGATACCACGACGGCTCTAGAGATGGATCCAGGAAGTTTCAAGACTTTTGACGTGAGCTACTTCACGCTAGTGGCTAAGAGAAGAGGACTTTTCCAATCGGATGCTGCTCTATTGGACAACTCCAAGACAAGGGGTTATGTCTTGCAGCTGGCAAGAACCCATGGGTCGATGTTCTTTCATGACTTTGGTGTCTCTATGGTGAAAATGGGTCGGGCCGGAGTTCTTACGGGTCAGTCTGGGGAGATCCGTAAGATGTGTCGGGTTCCTAATTAATTAAAGAGATATAAAAATATATCTCCATGAGTTTGATTATTATTGTGTGCTTCTATTGCTTTGTTTCTTCTTCTTTTGGGTCAGTAAATGTGATTGTTTCCTTGGGAATAAGCTGTATTTAGAATTCTTAAAAGTCTTGAAATTCAAATTATTAATATAAGGCTCAAGTTATAATAACGCTTAATATCATTTGAATAGATATGTGATTTTATTGATATACAATATAGTTAAATGGATACAATATTTTAATTTAAAGCATTTATGATATCCAGAAAAATGGTTTATTCAATACCTCCAACTTCAGCGTAACATCTGTTCCAAACTTGGCGAATCCGGGGACGAGCAACAGATGCATATCGTTTGAACTGATAAGTCCTAAACATTACATCCCTAATAGCCGTGTGACATTCTTCGCCAAATATAATCATTTTCATGCAACAAAACCTGGAAGCTGGTTTATCTTGAAGAATCTCAGACATAACTTGATCGTTACATCTCTCTCCTCCCATCATCTCGCCGCAAACGAGGGCGTGCTCTATGTAATCTCTTGGCAGTGTACGAGGTAATACTTCTTTATTGTATTCATCCGAAGTCGGCGATCTTGCAAACGCCGAATCTATATCAACATCGGGATCTATCAACGGTTTCTCGTCATCATCTTCAAGTTTTGAAGCCAAACTTGGATAAGCAAACAATACCACCGTGATTACAAGATATGCCATGAAAACACAATTAGTCTTCATTTTTTTTCTTTCTTTAATCTCTCTTTTTTTTTTTTTTAAAGTTTGTTTTTGTTTTCTACCTTTTTACTACTTCCAAGTTACAACAATCCGAATGTTATATACACTGAGTTATCAACTTATCAGTTATATTTTAATTAATAAAATTACGTTTTGTTGTTTAATAATCTTTATTTCTAATTTAAAATTGACGTTTTTTTTTTCTGTCGTTGATTGTATATAAATTTTTATGACAGACACTTCAGTTTATCAAAACTTTCAATAAATTGTAGTACAAAACATTTATTTTTTAAAATTAAAATAAATAAATTGGGGTTTGAAATCATCTTTAAAAAACTGCGATTTTTTTTGTAAAATATATTTTCATTTGGATATGAGGTCTCCAAAAAAAAAAATGCAAACTTTTCAAAATCTATTATACATGTTTTAAATGGGAAATTGAAAGGAATGGTTTATGAAATTCTGAATTAGTTTGATGGGAAATAAATGTTTAAAAAGTAGTATGATGGGAGTATGCAAAAGAGGAGTCTTGATATCTGTATTTTTTTGGACGGTAATGATATTTATTTGTAATGGGAAATCTCGAGGAATAAAAATAAAAATTATGTGGCGATGGATCAAATTCATTCATCGGGTGGTATACGAAGAAAAGATAAATAAGAAAGATTTGCATATTATTAAAGCTCATGAATCACGCGATGCTATTCGAGTATTTGACAAGTAGTAAGTAGTATATGGTGAAATCTCTTTTGTGGCCCCATTTTTTGGGCAAATCTCTCTCACACGACTCTGTTTTTGTTTTTGTTTTTGTTTGATTCTTCGTCGCTGTTTTGTTTAAACCACAACAACAACAACATATAACACAGCCGTCGCAACTACACTCACAAAGTATACTCGTTTTTCTCGCTTCTCTCCCGACAAACAAACTAAGCCTTCGTCTTTTGGATCATCTGAGTTCGTCTATTACTTCTGTCCGATTTCGCTGATGAAATCTGTCGGAGTTTGCGTGTGATCGTTCTTCTCATTAATTCATAAAAAAAGGAAACTTTTTTTTTCTTTTTCTTTTGTCGAGTTCAATTGAGGCAAATTCGTTCAATGGCATCAGTTGCCGAGAGCTCTTTTCCTCTTCTGTATCAAATCAAGACTCAGCGTCGGGTCACTTCGTCTTCTACGCTGAGGAATTCGAGTCTTGTCCGAGTTTCTTACCCTGATGGGTCGCTTTCATTCCGTGGTCGGAGCTTCGTTCTTGGGCATCGATGGAAGTGTGTGAGGCGCTTTGAGGCTACGGGCTCAGGCTCTTCTGAATCTGCGAGTGGAGATGAGCCTGAGGATGCGCTTCAGGCTACCATTGAGAAGAGCAAGAAGGTTCTTGCTATGCAAAGGAACCTTCTTCAGCAGGTAGATCCATCTAAATTTGATTGATTTCCTGGGTTTTTATTGTAAAGGTACCTTTTTTAGCCTTTTGGCAACTGTTCAATGTGAGCATTAGGTCGCTCAATTGTTTTCTGGACATCTTTAGAGGTCCAATTTTTACCCATTGAGCTGTCAGAGTGAGAGTGTGATATAAAAAAAAAAGTTTATTATGATGCTTAATTCTATCCTAATCTGCTTTGGAGGCTGCTCTTCACTAGTTTTCTGATTTTTATGTGTCTAATTGTTCTTTGACACTTGTGTTTAACATTCTGTCACTTTATCTATCATGTTACTCTTCAGATTGCTGAAAGGAGGAAGCTGGTCTCATCTATAAAAGAGAGCACACCTAACTTGGATGATGGAGAAGCTTCTTCCAAGGAAGAGTATGATGATTCTTCTGTGAATGCTAATACTAATGCTACTAAAAAAGAAAAGATGGATGGAGATGTAAACGGTAGTGTTAGCCCAGACAGTTATGGCAAGTCATCTTTGAACAAAGAAACAGAAGCTCAGACGTCATCTCTAGGCACTGACTCCTTGAAGAAAAGCAAACAAAGCTCAGCGGCTGTAAGATCTTCTTCCACAGTAACCTCTCCTGAGAAACCATCCAGCGTAGCCACTAATGGGAAACCTTGGTCTAGCGTAGTAGCCTCTAGTCTAGATCCTCCTTATAAACCCTCTTCTACTCTGACCTCTTCTGAGAAAACTTCTGATCCCGTGGTTTCTCCTGGAAAGCCGAGTAATTCGCACGCTGGTGCATTTTGGTCAGACCCTCTACCGTCTTACCTGACTAAAGCACCTGAAACATCAACTATAGAGACCGAGAAGTACATGGAAACAAGAGAGGAAAATAACCCTGAAGAAGCTAGTAGTGAAAGTAATGAACCTGGGAAGGACGAAGAGATGCCACCTCCACTGGCTGGAGCTAATGTCATGAATGTCATATTGGTTGCAGCAGAGTGTGCTCCATTTTCAAAAACAGGTTACTATTTCATTTCTCATCTTTGATAAATTGTGCAAGTTTTCTCTTACTAGTGCATAAGTAGGCTTCCCTTGGTGTACATGAACTGAAGACTGAGAAATTTTATAGGTGGCCTTGGAGATGTAGCTGGTGCTTTGCCAAAAGCTTTGGCTCGGCGTGGACATAGGGTTATGGTAATGTTTATCAAAGAAAGCCTTTTTTGGTGTCATAAAATCTGTCTGTTTGATCGTGGACTCAAACTAGTAAGTTAATCATTTTCTTTATTTGTCTTGCTAGGTTGTGGTTCCTCGGTATGCAGAGTATGCCGAAGCCAAAGATATAGGGGTACGGAAGAGATATATGGTGGCCGGGCAGGTATAAAAGCTGTTAATGTATCAATATCCGAATTTTCATTCCTTTTCATTTATCCTTGGAAAAGAGTAGATGAGGTAGCGAAATATTGATGTGGAGCACATTTTACTGCAGGATATGGAAGTAATGTACTTCCATGCATATATAGATGGTGTGGATTTTGTTTTCATTGATAGCCCTGTATTCAGGCATCTGAGTAATAACATTTACGGTGGAGACCGACTTGTAAGACTTATCTTATTCTCCCTGTTCTTTACCGAAAAATCTATTTCAGCCTACAAGTACTAAGTTTGGTATATTGAATCCAGGATATCTTGAAGCGAATGGTTTTATTTTGCAAGGCTGCTGTTGAGGTAAACCTCTGCTCCTAGATTGTAAACGGGAAATCAATATTTTACTTTCTTCTTATACCAATTTTGGTATCTGGAAACTTTTTTCAGGTTCCGTGGTATGTTCCTTGTGGTGGTGTGTGTTATGGAGACGGAAATTTGGCTTTTATAGCAAATGATTGGCACACTGCATTGCTACCGGTTTACCTGAAAGCCTATTACCGAGATCACGGAATGATGAAATACACACGATCTGTTCTTGTAATCCATAACATTGCTCATCAGGTTAATAATTTCTTCATTTTAAGAAGTGACTTATTTCATGCTTATATTTAGAGATCTGTGCATAACCTATTGGTGGAAAATTAGGGTCGGGGACCGGTAGATGATTTCTCGTGCGTGGATTTACCGAGCCATTACTTGGATACCTTCAAGTTATATGACCCAGTAGGAGGTGAGCACTTCAACATTTTCGCGGCTGGTCTAAAAGCCGCGGATAGAGTTCTCACTGTTAGCCATGGATATTCCTGGGAGGTTAAGACCTTAGAAGGCGGTTGGGGTCTGCATAACATCATAAATGAAAACGACTGGAAATTTAGAGGAATTGTCAACGGTATAGATACAAAAGAATGGAACCCAGAATTTGATAATCACTTGCACTCTGATGACTATACCAACTATTCTGTGGAGACACTTGAGATTGGTAAACCCCAATGTAAAGCTGCATTACAGAAAGAGCTTGGTTTGCCTGTTCGACCGGATGTTCCACTGATCGGTTTTATCGGAAGATTGGATCACCAGAAAGGTGTTGATTTGATAGCTGAGGCGGTTCCATGGATGATGAGTCAGGATGTTCAGCTGGTTATGTTAGGCACAGGGCGACCGGATCTTGAAGAGCTCCTCAGACAAATGGAGCATCAGTACCGAGATAAAGCAAGGGGATGGGTTGGGTTCTCGGTTAAAACAGCACACAGAATAACAGCTGGTGCAGACATATTGCTGATGCCCTCGAGATTCGAACCGTGCGGTCTAAACCAGCTTTACGCAATGAACTATGGAACCATTCCAGTGGTCCATGCCGTGGGAGGGTTGAGAGATACAGTTCAACAGTTTGACCCATATAGTGAAACTGGTCTTGGTTGGACATTTGACAGTGCGGAAGCAGGTAAGCTGATACATGCCTTAGGAAACTGTTTGTTGACATATAGAGAGTATAAAAAGAGTTGGGAAGGGCTTCAGAGAAGAGGAATGACACAAGATTTGAGCTGGGATAATGCTGCAGAGAAGTACGAAGAAGTTCTTGTTGCAGCTAAGTATCAGTGGTGAGTTAACGAAAGTTCCTTTTTTTTACTGTCTATAAAAGAACTTGTCTTTGGAGTTGTTAAGAAGCTTAGCTGTGTAGATTTTGTGATAAAACTACATTGGAGCTCGGCAAATTCTCATGCCATTAAGCTCCTTGTGGTTAAGGATTCAAGCTTGTTAATCTTCTGCCCACTTTCTATAGTAATTCTAAAGTGATAGATAGACTTGAGAAAGTAGATCAATAATTACAAATGGTGAAAACCCTATCTTTAAGATAATCAGGAAGATGGGAATAAAATAGGAGAGAAAGTTCTAGAAATCTTGTCACCGTTAAAGTGAATGTTGTTGAGCTTTTGTTGACACCACTTGAGGTGAGAAGATGAGACTAGAGACATGTGTAAAACCCTAGACACGAGCTTTAAATCTATCATTATGAACCTCACTAACAAATCATGTCCATCTCTCTCTATAGTTTCTTCCATGTTAGAATATTTCTTCTTGAACCAAATTTTCTTCTTGTTCCCTTGCATCTCCTTCAATAGTTGTTCCTTCTTCACAAATCCAAAAAATAAGGTTTTTTAATAAACCTCTAGAGAAATTGGGAAAGTTAAAAGTGTGAAAATTGTTTATAAAAAGGAAATTACCTTTTGGAGTGAATATTTAAGGTCAAGAAAGAGCTTAAAGTCTTTAGGATCTTCCAATTCCTTAAGAGGAGAATTAGTCAAAGAGGTTTTAAGTCTTTCCCATATCAGAGGTTTCTTGATGTCTACTTTCAGAAAGTCATAGAAGACTTCGATGCATCTCTCTATTGCTTTCAACACTTGTTTGTCCTGTCTTTCTTCTGCCCCTTCATGAGGTCCCTCTCTATTATATCCTTTTGATAGAAAACAAATTAAAAAACAAATATATAAGAAAATTATGAGTTCAAAACAAAACTTAGAAAATTCTACATGGAAAAAGAATCTAGGGTATGTAGAGAAAATGACCCCAAAAAGAAGTATCATGTGAAGTTAAACGACTAATGAATCATGAATCATTCCAACCCTCCAATGAAATTTCTATCGAGTTTCGTAAGCACATTTTTTTCCCCTTGGTCAACATGTAGAGTTGACAATTCGTAACAGTTTACTTGATTAAAATACAATGTAGATAAGAGTGTTCTTGTGATGACTTGGGACTTGTGTGACTTATCTCCACCAATATACATTACATACGTCGAGACAGATTCTGTCGACACATAAACTGTTTCTTTAGAAATACAAATTAGAATTCCAAATTATAAGGTATTGTATTCACGTTTGCTTAAGAATTTTAATCAATTGATTAGAGTCGTATCTAAAATGAAATATGTTTGGAGTTTTATAATGTTTTCCTTGATGAGTAAAGTGATGAATCTTGATAGAGATTTTTAGACTTTAGTCAAGAAGTCTGTTAAAACTCATCTAATGACCACATCTTTATAGTTTTTATAAGGAAAAGAAAGATTCATAAACTAATCGTTGTTGCTACTAGAAAGTATATTTTTTTTTTGTTCCTATGATTCCAACCAACGAAATTAAAAACTATATTATATGAACTCTCAATTTATACTCGATGTAACCCACTCACCAAGAAAAGTATTATATATATATCTATATGATTTTAGAAAATTCTTAGTATTATTAATTAATATATGATGATATGCATGTTTGAGATAAATAAACAAAGTAATTAATTACCTGAAAGTCTTGGGACTTGAAAGAAGCTCATCAACTCAACTCTTCTTTGAACAAAGCTCAAGACTCTTTTTCCTTGGCAGCTCTCATCTTCCAAGAACCTCTCTAACAAGACCTGAAAGTTTTGGAAGTCTCTAGAGATATCATCCTCATATAAACCACCTCTTGAATCAGCGGGTTTCAAATGATCTCTCACTGTAATGTACTGATTCAGAAGAGCTTCCCATGATAAACACGATTGAGCAACATAGACTAGCTCAAGGTCTCTCTTTATGCTTTGTTTTAGCCTCTTCTCTGCAGTTTCTCCCCATAAGCTCAAACTACTTGCGGTTACTTGGTTCATGATCGCACCTACAATGACAAAAATGGATATTAACATATAATGGAATTATTGATATGGATATGGTTGGTAATATATATAGAAAAAGACTTACTTAGACCATAGGTTCTATCGCGGCTGAGGATGTCATACCATCTCATTCTTTCGCAGTAATTCTTGTATACTTGATCGGTTTCAACATCTTCAACCCCCCGTTGTGTTGGATTCTCTACAAGAATTGAATCTTGGCACGCTGAATCCAAGCTTGCAATAGATAAAGGCGAAGAATGATCTCTATCGCTAGCTCCTAGAGAAGATAGATCAGTCTCCACGTCTGAGTTTTCAATATCTTCCTCTTCGTCATCATTGGTTGTTATAGAATTTTCAACTTCTTGATCTAGTGGCACAGTCTGACTTTCGAGCTCAAGATTCTTCTCTATGTTTACAGCATCAACAATGTCATCAATGCCTTGTTCCTCTTCCTCCTCGCCCTCCGTTTCAAGAAGCTCAACAACATCTTCTTGATCGAAATCATAAAAAAAATCACCTTCATCTTCCTCTACAAAAATCTTCCCTTCTCGCAGAGCTAGAAGAACCTTTAATTGAGTATCCACTTGGTATTTAAACGAAAAGCTAAAGGCGGGAATCGGACTATGTATACTTCTAGCAAGTTCCAATTTATTAAGGGTATTCTTGAGATCTTGACTAGACTCAATATTACATGTAACTTCCCTTCTGACCATAATGACTCGAAGAAAACTACTAAATAGCTTATAGAGCGTGACCAAGAACGATGAATAGGCGTTGTATAACGTTCGAACAGATGGTAGAAGCCATAAAAAGAAGAGAGAAAACCATATAAGAAGTTGACAAAGAAAGAGAACAAGAGGGTGCATGTATAATCTCATGTTAGACGATTTCAAGAAACCATCTCGAATCACTATGGATTCTACAATTAGCCAACATGTTGAGAGTATAGCCATCAAATTTTACAGAGAAGCAGAGAGAGAGAGAGGGGAAGAGACAGGGACTCATAAAGAGTGTCTTTATAAAGACGAAGAAGATGATGAAGAAGCTGCTGAGAAAAAGCCTTGTTGGAAATTTTTATCCCTCACAGCATGATCATTATTAAATAAAGTTGGTAAAGGGTCAAGTTTATTATCTTAAATCTTCTTTCCTTATTAGTTGATTCAAGATTTGGCTTTAACTTTTAAACATGTTGGAAATATTCGGATTCTGAATTATACTAATTCAATTTGTAACAGAAAAATATTCGTTTTAGTGTTAACTAAACCTATAAGGCCATCTATTGGCTATACTCTAATTTTTTTAATTAAAAGAGCCATCTTGACCCTCCATAGTTCTACTTGTTAACCTACGCCAGAAAAATGGAACTAATGCCATGATTTTGTTACTTTTTGTTTCTTATCAATCATCAATTTTTTTATATTTAAAATCCAGATAGAAGCTCATCACTTCTCAAGCTCCATCACAGAGCACATATGAATAACACAGAGAACTAACAGACACCCGAACGCACATGATGTTCTTCAATGTTAGTAACAGCCATCATGATGTAACCTGCATAAGAGCTTCAAGCTTCAACCTTCACAGTCGAATAATCTAACCAGATCACATACCACAACATCCTTTCTTATTGCCATAGGGGGTGGATCTCAAACACAAAAGTAAGCACAAATGAAAGAAGAGAGTATAACCAAAATGTTCTTTCACTATAACCAGTTTCCCACAATATCCTTACAATGCTTGTTCCCATTGTACCTTATTTAAACACAGACTATAACATATATCAGTTCTTGTAAAAAAGTGTGTATGAGAGTAAAGCTAACCAAAGAAAAGTGTGTGTAACACAATCCAATCTCATTTCCAAAGACTGAACCTAGTTTAACGTTGTCTTTTTCAATTTTCATTTCTTGATCTTCCTCTGCTGCTTCTTTGGTCCCGAAACCACTAATCTCCTTACAGAACAACCACATCTGGCTCTGAAAACAAGCACGGCTCGCCCATTAGGCGGTGCCATCTTCTTCAGCTCGGCTTCCAGTTCACGGTGATGGACACGAGGCAGCTCAAACATGCCCCTCTTGCCATTGCTGTTGTTGGAGCTCTTGACGCATTCCTCAGTCTCAAGCTGGATATCAAACTCAACAGCTTTCCTAAGCCCTTTACAATTGGGTTTCCCGCATCTCTGCATAGTACACAAGAGTATAACAAGCCAAGTGGAGATGGCAGCGCAGAAGATGCTCAAAGCTAACGATCCATACACAATCGGGTTCTGCAAAATCTCTTGTTTGACTAAAACAGAGAGATCTGAGAAGACCTCAATCGATTTGAGGGTGATGAGCTTGACGTAAGGGAAGAACAAGAACCCGCAGGCGGTGATCACGGCGATAAGGATCACGACATCAATAGCAGCCGACTGAGATCCGTCGCAGACAGGGAATTTGGAACAGGTTGGTGAGGAAGTGTAAGACTTACGGGAGCTTCTTGGTTTTGGGTGCAAATTTGAGGAGTGAAGAGAGTTGGACATGATCAAAGTAGGAGCTTGGTCGACGGAATTGCAGACCGAGATTGAGCTATGGAAATATACCATCTCACTCACAAGAGCTACTCGAATCCCTCGAGATCAATTAATAAGCAACCAGAAGAAGAAACCGAGTTCAAAATCTTCAAAGTTTGGTTCTTTTTCCCCTCTCTCTAAGCTATAGAAATCGAATCGAGCTATGTGGGATTGGATTGGATCAGAATCGATCTATGAAACTCGATTAGAACCCGAATTCTCGATCCACGATCAAACCCAGAAATAAGATGGATCAAAGGTAGAGAAATATGGAATTCACCTGATCAAATTGGGATATAGAAGAAGCTCGGTTTCAATCAGATCAAAGTGAAATGTCTTCTTCTTCTTCTTCTTCTACGGCAACCCAACTTGTGAGTTGGTACAAACTGATCACAGAATTTGTAGCAGCCTGTCAAAAACCTAAGAAGCCGATCCAAAAGAGAAGCTGAACCCGAATCGGAAAACAATGGAAAAGACGAGATAGAACAACAAGGCAAATAGAAATTCAACGTGTTGAGAGAAATTGAATCGTCGTCGTCGTCATGATGAATTCAAAAATCATCAATCGGTTTTAATTTTGAAGGGTCCAAATCCAATCGGAATGGGAATGGTATATTCGTAGAGGTAACGAGAGAGCCAAGAGTAAGTGACACGCGTTTTTTTTAGATAACTCTTTCTTTCCATTGCATATAGTGACGTCATCAGTATTCCTTACACACAAAATTAAAAATAAAAAAACTTATTTTTATATATAAAAACCCTAACTTTGTGTTTCTACTTCCTCTTCTTCTACGTCTGCTACCTCGTTGAACAGCCACTGCCCTAAAACCCTAAAAGCTCCGCTGTTCCTTTGAATCAATATCCAACGATGGGTTCGAAGAACAAAAAGCAAAGGAAGGGAGAGAGCAACGAAGCTAAAGGATCCGGTGGTGGAGTCGCTGAGGAAGGCAAACATATGATTAACGACCCAAGGTTTTCGTCGGCGCACACTGACCCTAGATTCCGTAGGATGCCGAGGCGTGAGCTTAAAGTCGCCATTGACTCTCGATTCAAGCCTGTCCTCTCTGATAAGCGATTTGCCTTGGGTTCTGCTCCTGTCGATAAGCGTGGCAAGCGGAGACGAGGCGGCACTGGAGACAATTTGCTTCGGGATTTTTATCGAATTGATGACGAAGATGATAAAAAGAAGAAGAAGAAGAAGGATACTGGTGAGGATGAATCTGGGGATGAGAGTGAGAAAGAGTTGGTTGATCTGAAATCTGAGGCAGAGTCAGAGGAAGAGAGTGAGCCTGAGAAAAAGCTTGCGTCTTTGGATGATGAATCTAATGAGGAAGCAGAGTCTGATGAGGAAGCTGAGTCTGAAGAGGTATCCGAGGAGGAGGAAGAAGAGGAAGATACCGATGAGGACGATGAAGCTATCTACGAAGACGATGAACCAGAAATTCCGGTAAATTGCTCAACTTTGATTCATATGCCTTGTTGTTCCATTTCTGCTTTTACCAGTTTTTGATAAATATCTCGTCTTGCAAATTTGGTGATGATGATGGTTTCTAGGAAGAGAACATTCCGACTATCCCTCAAGAAACTCACAGACTCGCTCTCGTTAACATGGATTGGAAATATGTCTCTGTAAGTTCTCCATCGTTGATGTATTGTTTCAAATTGGCCTTCTTTCGTGTTAATAATATCTTTGCTATGGTTATGGAACTAATCTTATCTGTGGGAATCGATACTTTATGATCAAGCTTTTTCGTCGAAAAATTAGTTAGAGCTTGCGTTCTTTTGGCTGATATTTTATTTGTTACTTAGGCCAAAGACTTGTACGTCGTTTTGAATTCGTTTCTGCCTAAAGATGGGCGCATTTTGTCTGTGGCCGTCTATCCATCTGAGTTTGGACTTCAGCGAATGAAAGAGGAGGAAATTCACGGCCCGGTAATTGATGGCGACAAAAAGAATGGAGATGGTGATGATGATGAAGAAGATGAAGAGGAGGAAGATGAGGATGTCAACAATCAGAAGCTACGTGCTTACGAGATAAGTAGATTAAAGTAAGTTCAAACTTGCTGTATCTAAAGTATATGTGGTGGAGGAGAAACCATTACTGAAACTCGCTATTACTGTTGCTCTGTTTTCAGGTATTATTTTGCTGTTGCCGAGTGTGATTCAAGTGCTACTGCAGATTACTTGTACAAATCATGTGATGGAATTGAGTTTGAAAGATCCTCAAACAAGCTCGACCTAAGATTTATCCCTGATTCCATGGAATTCAAACATCCACCTCGTGATATCGCATCCGAGGTGCGTACCGCTACTTCCTTTTACTTGAGATCTTTTTGTTTCATGGTGAATACTTATGAACTAAAATTTGTTATACAAATTTAGGCACCTGCTGGTTATGAAGGTTTAGATTTTCAGAGCCGAGCCCTGCAGTTGAGCAAAGTTAGTCTTACGTGGGATGAAGATGAGCCCCACCGCATTAAGACCTTAAATCAGAAATTCAATCCTGAACAGGTCTGTACGCTGTTTATAATTTATGTGATTAGGCTTAATTGCTTAAGAGCAACACACATTAAGACGTTTTGTTCTAGTGTTAGTGTTCTGATGTAGTTTATACAATTTTCTCAATCATAGTTGGCAGATCTTGAGATGAAGGAATTTTTAGCTTCTGATGAGAGTGAGTCTGATGACGAAGACGACAACAATGAAGGTATTAACAGGAATAAAGTGGAGAAGAGGAAAGATAAGTACCGAGCTTTAATTGAATCTGAAAATGTGGATTCTGATAAAGACGTGGAAGAGGAGAATGACCAGGATATGGAGGTAACATTTAATACCGGGTTAGAAGATCTTAGTAAAGAGATTCTCAAAAAGAAAGACAAGAAGTCAGAATCGGTCTGGGAGTCATATCTAAGGCAGAGACGCGAGAAGAAGAGGGCCAGGAAGAATAATAAACAGAATGATGATTCTTCTTCCCCGGATGATGATGATGATGATTACATTGATCGAAAGGCAGTGAAAGGTGATGGTGATGACGATTTCTTTATGGCGGAACCTCCTCTTAAGAAGAAGAAAGAAGGAAAGACGAAGAAGAAGGGTTTAGAGGAGGAAGTAGCAGCGGACGAAAGAGCCAGAGCGGAGCTAGAGTTGTTACTAGCTGATGAGAATGCAGGAGACGGTAATGGTCTGAAAGGGTATAATATTAAACGGAAAGGTAAAAAAGGAAAAACTGATATATCAGAAGAGAAGATACCTGCGGGTGTTCTTGATCCGCGGTTCTCAGCTGCATACTCTCCTGCCTATGCCATCGACCCTACGGATCCACAGTTTAAAAGGTAAATTGATGAGAAATCCAATTTTTGTGGGAGTCTTTGTTGTGAATGGCGGAAGCTTATGAATTTTGGGGTTTCTTTTTTTTTTTTGCAGGAGTGCTACGTACATAAGGCAACTAGCAATGAAGCAAAAGGAAGTTTCAAAAAGCCACGAGGAAGCGGAAGAGACAGCGCCAAAGGAGAAACAAGAGTTGAATTCAGATGGTAACTTGGGGTCTAAGAAAGAGAGACACGAGCTCTCTTCTACTGTCAAATCTTTGAAGATGAAGATGATTAACAAGGATTCGGAGAAGAAACAAGCGGGTAACGCAGTGACTTCCTCGACTCTGGCTCAGCGAATTAAGAAGAAAGCCAAAGATTTATCAAAGAAATAATGTCTTTGTTGTTTCCATCCAAATCAATTTTGTTTTGTTTTATACACAATGATAATTTACAACATTTTTTTCTAGAGAACAATTACAATCTTGATTATAACCTCAAATCAGTTAATGTTTGTTTTGTCCTTCTAATAGATGATAAAACACTGTCACACTCATCTTTATGGGCTAGTCTCTGCATCAATATGAGTCCTTCCAAATCTATTATTTTTGAGAATAATCGTAGGCGCAACACTGGCTTTTTAAATTTATTACTTGGTTTCCCCACTTAAATATGTCTATTTAACCAAAAAGAACAATCACACTTTTACCTGAAATTTAACACTGGTGAAAACTAACATGGAAACACTCCCAGTTCTGTCTTTAGGCGACAGCAAAATCCGAAATTGTAGTAAACAATATCTCAACCATAGTATGGAGGAGGATGACCTGAAGGTGAAGCCCCATTGGGATCAGATGGTGGGTACATATATGGGCTTCCACCATAACCTCCGTATTGAGTTTGCACCTGCGGATTCTGCCAACCTGCTGGCGCAGAAGCCGAGACTCCGGGCGCCTTTTGGGCCACCAGCAAGCTTAGATCAGGGAGTGTATAGTCTCTGCTTTTGTCGCTAAAAGCCTTCATTCAAAAACGGGGAAATAAAAGACGAAATTAGAAGTTGATTCCAGATTTCGCATTGAAAGGTACAAAAGAAAAAGAAAAATTAAGCATATGTCATTACTATGCTCTTCGCCTCACATTTTGTTTTTCTAGGTACACAACTCCAAAAAGCAACAAATCTTATGTACCTTAACATTGAGATCAGTATGACGAGAGTATGATAGTCGAAGCTTACAGTAGCCACCGTCATATATGCAGTGTCCTTCCAGTGCTTCTTTAGCTATTGCCGCCGTTGCTATATCTACAAAGAAGAAATAACAAACATGAAGGAGAAGATGATTGTATTAAAATTCTTAGCATGGGTATGTTCAGAATTAAAGGGGTTGAATGGATCACAATCAGATATTTTTGCAAGGCAATGTACCAGAGTACTGAATTAAGGCTTGCGTTGAACCATTCTTCTCAAATATAGCAATCTTCTGGACAGTTCCATACGCGGAAAACACCTATGAGAAGCAAAAGATACTATTAATTTAGAGAGATTAAGCATATTTAGAATCAGAAATGCACATGACTGTTGTTTCTCACCGTATGAAGAACATCCACAGTGACAGCATACTGCATGTTCTCAATCAGACCAAGAAGGACGTTGCTCTGAGATTCCACTTTCTTGCCGTCAGCACCTAATGCAGGCTGAAGAAATATCATAGGCCAGGTAAGAAAGGTAAACACTGGTGGAGACGGATAGATAAAAGTGTGAGGAAGGCAGGGGAAGAAAATGATACCTGCATAGACCCATCCATTGCCGTATGATTCACTGGAAGGTATGGATTTGTGTAATCTCTGTGTACATCCAAGAATCAAACATATGATACGACTAATATAACATAAGGTTTTCGACATCACAGGTAGCATATGGAGACAGAGGCACATTTTAAAGGGGTCAAAACTCTACCTGCTCCGGTGGGACTGAAACTTGATGTTGAGATCAGTATGAGCTGAATAAGACATTCGCAAATTGCACGAACCAACATGTTCCGGGAGCAAATATCTAAATTTAAAGTTTCCAAACATAAAAAATATATAATTAGTAGAGTTATATCTTAAGGAGAAAACACATGTGTTGATGCATTGCAGAAAATATGAGAATACCTGGGTATACTTCTGCTATCTAAAGCATTTCTTGCTGCAGATGCAGTTTCCACATCACTAAATTGAACTAGTGCCTGGGAGGTTAGGAAAACAGAAACCAAAGATTAATATCATTTCATCTTCTCTATAGAGAGGTTCGATACAAATCTCAATGTCTTACCTGGAAACCAGCAGCTTTCTCAAAAGTGGCAATTTTGTGCACGAATCCGAAAGCAGAAAATACCTGAAACAAATTTGGACTCGGTATGAATCGTGACCAAACGTTGGAGGGATAATAACTAAAGGGAACCAAAACAGTTGAAAGAAGCTCAAATGTTCACGGAGTGGGACTAAAAAAGAGAAGAAGCCCAGATAAGTACAGAGTGACACCTGTCCACTTATGGGCATGATAGACCATAGATAGGAGAATGACGAGATACTATTTCCAAACTCTCTCCAGAAAGATTTTTAATAAAGAGGCATCAACATCTGTGATTCGAGCATTTCATTAATGGTGACATACTATGATTTGAATAGTCTGTCTATGTAAATTACTCAAAGAAGTTTGTTTAATAGCAAGTTGAAATCTTTTTATAAATTCTTCTGCTCGAAGCACAACACACTGCCTCATGTGTTGCCTCAACAATGTAAAAGTATCAAGCACAAATTTTATCAAATATGACCAATTTTAACTGAGAAATGCCTATTGATACAAAAAAAAAAGGAAAAATTCAGTGAAAGATTCTCACACTCTGAATCATTTACCAAGCTGACCACCCCGGGAAGCAAAAATCAAAGTGATACGTAAGCAAGAATTTTAAAATCGAGTTAATGCACTCACCAGATGGATAACATCGATGCTCACTTCGTGAGATTCCACTCCTTCAAAGGTAACCAAGAGGACATTTCCAGGGACATCTCCAGGACTCTGATTGTTTACAATTTCATGCCGATTAGAGTACTGGATGTAGACAGTTTTGCCCCGAATCTGTGCGGGCTCTGAAGATGAAGCATAATACGAAACCATTGATATAGCTTGGTTCAAGTCAGCCTGTGAAGCAAAAATTAATGGTCCATCAAGAGAAATGCAAGAAAAGGAAGGAACTAACAGCTACAAGAGTCAACCATAGGTTTCACAACTTAATGCTTCAGAAACCAATTCGACATGGTCATGATTCCTGATGAGATACTACAATTAAAGTAATCTTCGATTCTAAGGGCTTCAATCACAATTAGCAGTTCCGACTTGGCTTTATTTTCTCCTAACCAAATCCCAGGAGCTCGAATTTGGGGGCATAGAAATTAACAAACAATCTATTCGGAGAAAAAACTCACAAATTCGACGAAAGCTTGGTTGCGATTGGCGCCGACGTTGCTCTTGGTATTCACGATCTTGCCGAATCGTTTGCAAAGGTCGATGAGCTCTTCCTCCACGCATTCCCATGGAAGATTCCGCAGATGCACCACCTTCGACGGCGTCTGAGTATAGCGGAACTGCGTTTGGCCTGAGCTAGACATCTCCGGTATGGCGTTCGATACTTGCTCGGATTTGGTTAACGATCACACAGACCAAAGCCGCCGGAAAATAAAGTTTTATCGATTCGATTCTCTCGATTAGAGAGTAAAATCTGATCGGAACCAAACCCATACAGCTAAATTATCAGGAAAACTTTTCAAAATTGCCCCCAATATTTATATTTTCTCCATATTTGTCCCTTAACTTATATGTCTGTTACTACTAGTCCCTTACTTCAACCATTGTGGTACACTAATCACTAGAATAGTAAAATACCATTATCGATCAGTCCAAGCCGATCTCTAACTATTGAAGAAACATGCATGCTTCCGTTTCAAAGCTAATGATTTGTTCTTCTTTTGTTTTATGGTATAAGGTTAACATATATATACTTCATATATACTAGTACCAAGTACGGTCGTAGCTAGAAGAAGTTACCAATCCAACTTATGGATTCCACCATGGCCTGTTCTGAATGAGAGCACATATGTGAAATAGTCTAGTCGGCTTGTTGTATGCCAAGTTTAATTTGTGACCCCTTTAGGGAAATACTAAATTGAACCCGAAAAAGCAAAACACTTTTGATTTAGTCAGAGAGGCTTGGGACTTCAAAATTCACAACTCGTAGCTGTTTCTTGACCCTACATGAGCTAACTATCAGTTAAATCTCATATCATTACGTCCTCTTAATATTACTTGTTGTCTTTGTCGAGAAGGTCTCAGTAGTCTGTACTGTTTGTGTGAAGGGGCTAATCCATTAATACTGTTTTAATTATATTATTAACTAGCCTTTAACATTGTACTTAGTTTGTTGTAGTTTCTTTACTTGCGTGGCTTGTTTCTTGCCGTAAGTTCTCTCAAAGTACTTGGTCTACTGTGATTAAGATGAGAATTGTGCTGTTTGGTTCCCTTCCTCTTTGTTGACTTTTAGTTGGATAATTGGGTCCTGTCTTGCTGAAGATAGTGAATGAAAAGGTTGGAGCATAACTTACCGAGAGAACAGGTAAGTTTGGGTTTAGACAGGGATGGATGAGTTATATACTATTGTTACTTGGATTAAACGATCCTACAAGATAGCAATGTTTTCATCTTAGGAAAAAGTGGGAAGAATCTAGTCAGGCTTTGGTCAATGGACAAGGAACGTCTTATCCAGTGACTGCAGGTTACAGAAGCTGGCCAGCTTAGGAAACCGTGTCTGCGTTTTTAATGTCTTTAGTACTTCAGTATTTACTAAGCCAACTTAACAGTGTTTTACATAGTTTTCGTATCAAAAGTTTGAAACAGTTCCGAGGAAAGAGACTTGGAGCATTGATGTACTTCTTGTTTACTGATTTCCCATGCGTGTGACATCTTGTTCTTTTCGGTAGAACGAGCAGCACACTGATGCTAAAGACTTGGGGGCATTGATGTGGGAATTTAAGAAACTATAATTTCTGGTCCAAAAACTGATGATAAAGAAAAGCAAATGGTTATCAGTTGACTTTAAAAGCTTTGGCCCCTCTTCTTGGCTCTCATTGATTCTTGTTTCTAAACATTTTCATCTAGGGAGGTTCATCTACGTGGATGGGTGTGATTTTGACAAGTGGCATCATCACCCATGAAGATTATTGAGCGATGTTTGGATCATGAAAGTTTAAAGAGTAGAAGCTGGCAATATGAAATCAGCAAGACATTTATAAAGGTGTCCCCATTGTCCTTTACATCTTTTGCAGCCAATATGAATTTGAATTGTTTTTTTTTTTTTTCAATTTTAACAATTTATTTTTGTTTTTATTGGTACAATTCGTTGGGCCTTGTGATTTTGTCTTATGGTTTGAGTGCGATAAAGATACTTTCTTCTCTCCCTTCAAGCTTGGAGCCCCACCTCAATAAATCCTCCTTTGCTGCCATGGCACACACTTGAGGATACTCTTTCTTTCTTTGGTCTGGTAAAATCTCTTTAATGTCACCGTCACCGCCATTAATCGTCTACCTTTCTTGGCAGCAAAAGTTACCTTTGTCGACAACCTTCGATCACTTGTACACCATCCAAACCATGTATGATACTGAAAATTTCATAGTGGTTAGTAAGAAACAATGTAAAAATTCTACGGTCGAGCAGAAATGTAGTTTAAGAGATCATGTACGATCATGTTTTTCAAAAGCCTTTCTGATACGCTACTGGTCAAAATGGTAAACCAAATACTATTAATTTTGTTACCTCATCAAGTAGATATTTGATGGTTAAAGTTTCTGTATACTTTTCAACATTCATTGTCTATCTTAGTTTATCTTTGTGAAAAGAATAGATTTTCTGATGAATTGACACCAAGAACAGTGGAGCAGCCAGTGGGACTTTCATTAAATGATGAAGGAATCACACAAGGAAAGGTTTTTCATCTCCTTTCTTCTTGCTCCCCACCACATTAGTGCTTCCTCTCTCACATTTACAAGGTTAGACTCTCTAATTTTACAATGGTCGAAATTCCTAGTTTGTTTACCGCAGTCATAGTTTTCTGATCTACATCTTTAGAGAGAGAGAGTGGCCATTAGTGTAAATGTGTTTGCATAAAACTTTTGATGCTTCCACAGGGAGAATTTTGCCATTTGCAGAGCAATCACTAATTGAATTAAGAACAAGTCTAAGCTAATGACATCATAGACAACCAATTAATTACTTGCAACTACTTTGCATTTTCCATTTTTTCTATAATTAGGATCTATAAATCATTAAGATTTTTTGCTCTTAAGTTTCTTCAAATACCATCAATCCTCTATGTCTGATTTACTTTTCCCATTATAGTGCCAGCTTCCACTTCTTCACCGTCATTTAACAGCATTTACTATTGTGGAGTTCTTGAAAAAGCTAACAAAAATGTGAAATACTCGAAAAGAAATCAATAAACACGTTTTCATAAAGCAGTATAACTTAGTAGGGTAACTAGTTATAGAGAGTAACTATAAGAACTTGGTAGCTTTCAAGAAACCAGACCTTAATAGGATAACCTGTAGTAAGAAACCTTGAGCATCTTCTTGACCCTAGTTTAAGCACCTTTAGTGAGGATTCTTTTACATTTTATACATAGTTTTTAAGATGAGTTTTGAGCCAGGAAACCGATGGAGACTGTCGATAGCGAACTTTGATACGAGAAAAATGTGGAAAATTAACAAGAATGGTTTCAATGTCAAAACTGTTCAAGGACCACAGAGTTAGTTTGTTTAAGGCTAATGAGGAGAAGAAAAAACATTCTTCTCTATGACATTATCCTAAGTTGCAAGTTTATCAAAATGAGGGCTATTGATAGATGTTGACCTTAAAATTTACTCCAGGTTCTGAAATTAACTGTTTTACCTTGTGTTGAGAGGTACAATTCCAAGGTAAGGATGGCCACTTTTTGGGTGCTCTGTTGAGTCTTTAAAAGGAAATCAAGGTGTTGGAACCACAAAGGTAATAATATCTCTCGACCCCATCTAATTGAATGCCAATCCATGTCAGAGACCGGGAAAAGGGGCGCTTACAGAACCTAAACAGAGACATCTTCTGTTGTGTTTCTCCCTCTATATATCAGAGTGACGCCAAGGGAGCAGCTTTTGTGATTATAGTGATCATGATCATCTAATGATAGCTATTCCATACACTACACATTGAATCAGAGTGAAGCTTCTTCTTCAGTAGTGTTCTAACTGTGTGGCAGATAATGGGTCGATCACCGTGTTGTGATAAAGCCGGGTTGAAGAAAGGGCCCTGGACACCAGAAGAGGATCAGAAACTGTTGGCTTATATTGAAGAACATGGCCATGGAAGCTGGCGTTCTTTGCCGGAGAAAGCCGGTAACCCCACATCTCTCTGCTCTTTACTCTTCCACAAACCGCATATATTCTTCTTTGTCATCTATCTCTACTGAAACCTTCTTCAAACTCCTTATAGGTCTCCAAAGGTGCGGAAAGAGTTGCAGACTCAGATGGACTAACTACCTAAGACCTGACATTAAGAGAGGCAAATTCACGGTACAAGAAGAACAAACCATCATTCAACTCCACGCTCTCCTCGGAAACAGGTGAATTTATCAGTCACACTGTCACAGTCTCTGAAAGGATCACTCCAAAAGTTTAATCCTTTTGTGATTGCTTTAAAGCCAACAAGTTGATCTCTCTGATGAGTCCTTAATCTCATAGGTGGTCAGCGATTGCAACTCACTTACCAAAAAGGACAGACAACGAGATCAAGAACTACTGGAACACACACTTGAAGAAACGTCTGCTTAAAATGGGGATCGATCCAGTGACTCACAAGCACAAAAACGAGACCCTCTCGTCTTCCACAGGTCAATCCAAGAACGCAGCCACGCTTAGCCATATGGCTCAATGGGAGAGTGCTAGGCTCGAAGCTGAAGCAAGACTAGCTAGAGAATCAAAGCTTCTCCATTTGCAGCATTACCAAAACAATAACCTTAACAAATCAGGTCCTCAACATTGCTTCACTCACAAAACATCAACAAATTGGACTAAACCAAACGAAGGTAAGAGACAATGAACAAAAAAAACTCAACTTTGAATGGTTTTGGTAATGTATCGATGGAAACTTTTGACAGGAAGTGGAGATCAACAGCTTGAATCTCCGACATCGACGGTGACATTCTCCGAGAATCTTCCTCTGATGATCATGCCTTTAGGAATTCCAACGGACAACAGAAATAGAAACAATAACAATGAATCCTCTGAGCTTCCGGCGATGATTGAATTCGCCGTATCTTCCTCGACCTCCTCCGATGTGAGTCTGGTCAAAGAACACGAACACGACTGGATTAGGCAAATCAACTGTCCTTGTCCTACGGAAGGAATAGGAGAAGGATTCACGAGCCTTCTCCTCGGTGATTCAGTCGGCCGGAGTTTATCCACCGGAAAAGGCGAAGCGACGGCCTCCTCCGTCGCCGGAGCTGGGGTGGTCAGCGAGAGTGAGTATAACTACTATGAGGATAACAAGAACTACTGGAATAGCATTCTCAACTTGGTTGATTCTTCACCGTCCGATTCCCAAGCGATGTTCTGATCTAAGGGTCTACAGTGATTTGATTTCTCCATAAAAAAATACTTGTCATCTCAGATTGTTTTTTTTTTCTTTTTTGGGCTTTTTTTTATATAATGTCGATAGCTTTCTTTTCCAATACTTTTACTTGTCTTTATTTCGTTATATTATTATTATTATTATTATGAAATATATTATATGGGATGAAATTTCATGAAAATGACTTTTGACAAAGAAATTTGTATTCTAGTATCCAATGATATGTTCAATTCATATATTATGCTTTTATGTTGGGGTATATCATAATCATATACAGTTTAAAGAAAAATATTTAGTAACTCTGATAGTTGAATACGTAAAACCAATAGTTTTGTGCTAGTGTCGTTATCATTGTGTTTAAATTTCAAACTACATATGTTTTTGGCATCATCGGTTTAATCGGGAGTGAAAGAGTAGTTGAGCTTTCCTCTTGTATATGTGTGGAAGTCGCCTAGAGGCGAGAGGGAAACATTTAGCTCCTGAAGTTATGTAAAAGGGAGGGATGTGAATGCAGAAGAGGCTGTAAACGCTATATAACAACAACACGTTGACATGTCGCGTAAAAAGAAAGAAAAATTAAATGCTTGGTGGTTTCATGTCATTTTCATTATTATGATCCATTGTAACAAAACTAATTATGTAGATTCTATCTTAACTACAACCTACATTACGAAGTTAACTTTGATTTTCAATCTTACGGGAAATAATGGGCCTGAACTTTTAGGTAAGGACTACGTAGTATTGACAAAAAGGCCCATAAAAGCCCAGTGAATACTTAACCTAAAGGATCAAAATAAAAAGATCAAAAATTCAAAAGTGTCTCTCAAGTCTGTAAAAACCGCAAGGGTTCCTTCCTTCCGATGATGGCCGGATCTCTAGGTCTTACGCCGGAGTCACTGAAGGCGTCTGGCCGGAGCTCCGAGAATCTCAGCCTTCCTATCCTTCGGAGTCAAATAAAGCGTGACCCAGAGGGTTACGAAACGGAGCTCCATTTGATTTACAAACAGTTCAAAGCCTCCCTCGATCTCTTTCAGCAACAGGCCGCTCTCACTTTCTCCTCCGTCGGCTCCGACCCTTCCGTTGCCAAGAACCTCGGCGACCGAGTCATGTTTCTGTCTCATGTCACTCCGTTTTACCCGAAGCAGCTCTCCGCATTCCCAGCTCAATTGACTGATTTACTCCGTACCTCATGCCTGGCAATGCCGTCGGGGCTTCGGAACCAGGTTGCGCAAGCTCTGATTCTTCTGATGAATCGAAAGGTTTTTTTTTTCTTTGTATGTGATTTGATACGAATCGAAAGGTATGTTTCTTAATAATATGATTCTATTGTGTGCATGTTAAGAGTCTTGTCATGGAGGATTTGCTGGCTCTGTTTCTGGATATTCAGACTCTTGGTGATAAAAACTTGCGGAAGCTTGCTTTCTCTCACATTGTTCAAACCATTCGTAAGATGAGTATCACTGATCCAAGGCACAAATCACTTCAGAAGATTGTAATCTCTATGTTGGAGGTAATGATTCTTTTTCATTTCCCTTTTCATTGTAACTGAAGTAGATAATATAATGTTGATTGCTTGTGTCTTTTGTTTGTAGCAAGAAGATGAAGCCAAGGCTAAGAGAGCATTTGTTACCCTTTGTGAACTTCACAAGAGAAAGGTCTGGTTTGGTGATAAACATGACAGAGTAGCAATTGCGATTTGTGAAGCGTGCTTTCATACCTCACCTAGGTATATCTTTCTTGTTTTTAATCCCCTAACTGTGGAATATATTATGATATGATTTAGTTGGTCAAATTACTAACTTCTCTTTTTTAACATGCATGTTCATCAGGATCATGATATCTTCCCTTCGGTTTCTTCTTGACTGCGAAAACAATGACAATGAGGATGATAGTGATGCTTCAAGCAGCGATGACGAGGATTCAAAACAAGCATCTCATGTTATGATTAACAGAGAGGCTGTGTACAAGGTAAACAACATTATATATGAATTTTATTCCAGACTATATATGAAGACGCTTATTAGTTAGTTCTTCATTGAATTTTCACCTTCCTAGTTGTCGATGTCATTTTTTTCATGACGAATATATAAGTAAATAACTAGGTCTTGTTTATATGATATGCATTGATATCTTGGGAAACTTTTTTTGGTTAGTTTATATTTGCTTAAATAAATTTTCCCTTTCGGATGTCTAGGCGACCAACCAAGGTACGTCTTCGAGCAAGAAGAAAAAGCAAGCTAAGCTGCAACGCGCGATGAGAAGTATAAAAAAAAAGCAGCGTGCATCTTCTGAGAACACCACTTCAAATTATTCACCTCTTAATTATCTAAATGATCCACAGGTTCATTTCCTAGCTTTTTGTAGTGTCTCATATATGCAGGGAAAGTAATTACACGGTAGTATATGGAGTGGCAATAACTGAGAGTTTTCTTCTATTACAGAACTTTGCAGAAAGGTTGCTTTCTCGTCTTCAGACTGGTAAGAGCATTGGGCAAACTAATGAACGGTTTGAGGTAATTATATTTTAAGTAGCTAGCAATTCATCCATTCTATAGAAACATATATGAGCTAACAATTGGTCTTTTTCCTGGTGTTGCAGACCAAGTTGATGATGATGAAAGTTATTGCACGAACAATTGGTCTTCACAAGTTGCATTTATTAAGCTTTTATACTTATCTTCAAAACTATGCTAAGGTAACATTTGCTAACTGCACTTTTAAAACTTCTTTGTTGAAATATGATTGAAATGGGGATGCTGCTCTTAAATGCAGCAAGGTAGAAAGGACACTACACAAATACTTGCAGCAGCAGTTCAGGCTTGCCATGATGGGGTATAGAAACATCTTCACTCTAAAGCATTTTTTGCTTTTCTCATTCTTCAATCCTTGCAACAATTTTTATCTCGGGCAGGTACCTTCGGATGCAGTGGAGCCACTGTTCAAGCAAATAGTTAATGAGTTTTTACCCAACGGCTCACGTCCTGAGGTGTGATTTTCAAGCGTTCTCACATCAAGGGACTTAACTAGAAAGCTTATCCTATCATTTACTATATTCTTCTTTTTAATTCATTGTTTCCATTTTATGTAACCAGGCTATTGCTGTCGGACTCAATGTGGTACGAGAAATGTGCCTTCGGATTCACGATGTAACTAATTCTTAACTCTGGTTTAATATTCTCATAGAAAATATAGTTATACAGAACGAATCTCTCTTTTTGCTTCTTCTAAATTTTGTATCCTTTACTTCAGTTGATGACAGAAGACTTGCTGCAAGATCTTGCTCGGTATAAAAAGGACCATGCCCATAATAAAGCCATCTCATCAGCATCTCGTTCCCTCATAGCGTTGTTCAGAGAGGTAGCAGAAGCATTTGATTTTGTTAATTGGAACAAAATCATCCATGTATGTGGTTAACCAACAAATACATTTTGTAATTTCAGATCAACCCTTCGCTTCTAGTAAAAAAAGACCGTGGCCGCCCTGGAGGTCCCATTGCCAGACCTAAACAATATGGAGAAGCTACTGTATTCAGCAATGTTCCCAATGTTGAGTTATTGCAAGAAAGTGATAATGATCAAGACGATGATGAAGTGGCCGCGTTGCCTGGCAGTGATGATATCAAACAGGAGCTGACACCTGATGAATGTGGAACTGAGGACGAGGCTGAAGAAGATTCTGATGATGGTGATGATATGAGTGACAAAGAAGATGATAGTGATATTGATACTTTGGTCAGTGGTGATGATGAGGAAAAGGAGAATGATAGTGATGAAGCCGAGACTGATTCGGAAAATGAAGAAGAGGATGGAGAAACTTCTGATTCTTGTGTGGAGGGTAGTGGAAACAAAGAGAAAGCAAAGGGGAAGAAAAGGAAGATAGAAGATTTTGATGCGAGTCTTCTCGCTGCTGATACAAGCTTGCGAGCACTAAAGAGATGCGCAGAAGCAAAGAGCGAACAGCCATCTTTTGGTGAAAGTGATGGCATACTTTCGAATGAGGACTTCCGAAAAATCAAAGAACTTCAGGTACAGTATATATATAAATGAGAAAGAGTGAAGCTCTGTTTTCCTCTGTTTGGTAAAAAAGAGTCCAACGTTGTTGATGTTTTGTGTCATATACAGGCAAAGAAGGATGTGAAAATTGCATTGGCTCGAAAAGGATTCAAAGTTCCGGACTGTGATCAGCTAAGTAAGAAGCTGGTCAATCCAGCCAAACTTGAAGTAAGCTGTTACTATGAGAAGCTGCTCCATTTTAGTCAACACAAAATGTTGTTTGGCTCACTCATTCGATGTTAAAGTGAATGGTTTGTACTCTATTCCACAGGCTCACATAAGGCATAAACTAACAAAAGAAGAAAGGCTAGAGTTAGTCAAAGCAGGTAGGGAGGAGCGAGGGAAATACAAATCCAAGACAGCCATCAAGCAGAAGAAGGTATCTTGTTTTTCTTGTTACGAAAGAAATGGTTAATTAACAAACCAAAGCATAGAATATGTTTTGTTTGATGGTCCAATATGATAATGGTGTGAATTGGAAAACGCAGAGCGGAGGATCGAGCAATAGACAGAAGGAGCACAAGAAGAAGATGCCTCTCGCTGCAGTAAGAAGAAAGGCTGGGAAATCAAAGTTAGCCAAGAAAATAAAGAATAGCCTCAGCGGAAGCCAGTTCAGAGGAAGGAAAGCTTGGAAGTGAAAATGAGCAAATTCTCTGCAGCATTAAAAACTTTTCGGTCTCATTGAGGGAATGGTGAAGATCATTCTATACACATTGATTTCCTATATTGAAAAAAGCATGTGATGATTATTTTAGAAAAATGGTCATGGGTTACAAAAAATGAAAAAATGCATTGATTTTCATTTTTCAGTCTTGATTTCTATATTTATTTATTTATGTTAATAAAAGTTTTATCATTAAACGTGCATACGACAAAGATTAAAATTACAAAAAAATTGGAGTAAGAAGGATATGGGCCTGAGCATTTCTAATACTATTGATCAAAGGCCCATTAAAAGCCTAGTGAATACTTTTTTTTTTTCTGACAAGACGGAGACAAAGGAGCCGCTGGGGTCTTTTCTAATCACTCCTCGCGAATCTGAGATTTCGGAATATTCGATCGATTTGGGGTTTTAGGGTTTAAATCAGTGCCGACGAACCTGCTAATCAATGGCGCCACCTCCAGGACTTTACTCCGGTACCAGCACTCTTGCTCTGGTAATCAATCTCTCTCCCTCGGATCAATTTCTCGATCTGTATTTTGACTTGTAGAGCTTTTGTTTTTTAAGAGTTCATCAAGCCTTATTTTTGTTTGTGTATCATTCAATTAGGTTGCTCGTGCTTCGGCTTTCGGTTTGGGTCTCATCTACGGGAACGTGAAGCTCAAGGCTTTGAAGGTTTAATATATCTTTACCTTCCATGTCTTATCAGATTTCTCCACCTCTAGTTTCGTAAATTAGGAGAATCTAGGACACATGATCCTTTCTTGATGTTTAAAAAGGTTTTACCATTCTGATCCTGACACTTTCCATCATAGCAAATTCGAAGATTATGGCTTTTGCATTAATGAGAAGTTTGATATTCTCCATCGAATCATATGTGATGTTTATTATTATCTGTTGCTTGAATGATACTTTGAAGTTTTGTTTTTTTTTGGCTTGACTATTACTAGATTTTAGCTAAGCATTGTATAGTTAGCTAAGTAGATATCTGAATTACAAGTTTACTACTTTTCTCCTTTTAATCGGGGTAATCTTTTTGCAAGAAACATGATCCTTCCTTGAATCCAATGGTCCACTGTATGATCATAATAGCTTTACATGATGTTTTATAGACGTTTTTCTCACCACTGCAATGTATTTTATTTTGGTTGCCTTTCAAAGTATGAGTTTGCATTGGTATGTCTGGTTTCCAAACCATAGGAAAATAGTTATGCATGCAGGACGAGTCTTGGTTACTATCTTCAGGGCATCCCATTGTTTATTCATCTTTGATTGTGTGATGATGATACCAACAAAATGTTTGTTTTATATGCAGATAAAGAAGAACTCACAGATTAAGGCGGAAGCCAAGGCTCATCACTAAACCAACTCTTGTCTCCCCTTCACAATAAGAATATGAAGCCAAAGTTATCGTCATCTCCAAATGTAGCTGTTTCATCTTATGTTATATCTCTCCCTCGGTGACTTTTCTTTTTTCTTTCCGATTTTTCTGATTTGACAAAGAAGAGAAACCTTTTGTCTGATAAAGCAAATCATATTACCACCATTTTGGTTTAAAACCGAGGTCCTTTTTGTTGCTTTTTCTATTCAATAAACATCAATCTGTTATATCATCTCTCAAGTATATATAACCTATGGTGATTGTATCGAATCCAAAGACTGCAATAGAAAGGCGTGCCAGAAAGAGTTTGAAAGAAAACTAGGGAAATAAGAAGACAAAGCATTCTCTCAATGACCCATTGAACAACAACATTGCAGTAATACTAAAACCATCAACACGACATAGACGTGAATGGGGAGGCATGGGACACGTAGTTATCGGTTAATTTTTATCGTTGGTGCTTTCTTCATTGGACGGATGATAACTTAAAGAATAATTCGTGTATGCTTTTTCAATATATATAGAAAGAAAAAAAAGAAACATCACTATAAGTGGTTTTTGTGTGTGTGTGTGTGTGGTCCATTTGGCTGGCCATCATCAACTGATAGTAGGTTTCGATTAAATTAGGAAAAGATGTATAGTAGTAATCTTGACTATCATCAATCTTCAAAAAGAAATATAAATGAAAGTATTATATGGGTCGTAATCATGAATTAAATCCTCAATCAAATGAATTACGCAAACATTATAATTTTTGTAAATTTCCAGCCAATTATATATTTCTGGCTATAGTTAAAGCCGGCCAATTTGTAGGGTCTCAATTTTTTATAATTATTTTAGTGAACATTAAAAAGTTCATAAGATTTATATATCAATAATGATAACCAACGTAGACGGCATCTTTTAATTTGTTTTACTTTAAGATCAGTCACAAATCCCCTTATGCAAATTTTATACGATCAGTTTGTGTTTGTTTGTTAGTGGTGGCTTTTTTTCGCTTGATACGTTGTTAAATGTTGTTTTGTTTAATGATTCAAGCATGTGATACTTCACTTCAATAAGCAAACAATACAATGCATTTAACGAATTAATCATTCTTTAAAATCCACAAATTAAAATAAAATACTAGTAATCAAAAGCACCGCGACCTACACTTACCTACCCTTGGGTCACAAAACGCACGTTCACACATTTTATAAGTGGCATTTTCGTAAAATAACGCTAAGAACATATTTTTAAACTCACACTTCAGGGTTACCAAACTGATTTGTCTGATTAACTTCTTTTGTTTTTTTTCCTTTTTTCCAGTATATAACTGTGTTTTCAATTGAATTTTTGTTTTGAACGATTATATTTACAAAATACGTTCAATCATGTTTTTGTTTTGCTCATCTTTGTATGTTATTTTTATTGCAACATGAACAAAAATGACCACAAATGCAAAAGCTTTCGAGGTGTGACCTAACCTAACTGATGGGGGTGTCTTGTCTTTAAAACGACTTTGGTGTTTGGACCCAGACCCACTATCTCACGTTCAAGTGGACCTTGTTTATTTATATTTCTGGTCCAATTTTTAAACCAAAACAAAGATTGCCATATGTTTGTTCCAAAAAAAAAAAAAAAAAAAGAGATGAGAGATTAAAACACTGCTTTAATCTTATATATATAAAATGTCAGTTAGGTTACATTTTGATCATTGTTTTGGCAAATACTAATAGAGGTGGTCATGACGTTAACAATTATTTGTAACTTCAAAAAGTTTAAATTGGTTCGTTTGTAACACTCTGTTATCCTATCTAATTGCTTAGATTCTATTTGAAGACTACACAAGAGGTCATAGTCAAAACAAAAAACACTAAATTTGGTTTAGCCAAAGATGATTAGATAGATAGAGTTCTATTCTTTAAATACATTAGCTATACTATTTAAACATTGTTCTCATATTCATGTAAAAAAAAACAAGCCGGTTGACTCAAAATATTCCATGTAGTTAATTACGTTTACTACTTTCTTTACCAAATTTTCAACATGAAATTGAATGTTTAACAATAATGAGTTGGAACTTTGAATTGAAAACTCAACAAACAAACACATTCTCGAAATCCAACATTTTTTTCTATTTTTAATTAGGAGATAAGTAATTAAAAAATCTGGCAAGCAACGTGTTCTATTTTTGTAACGTAGAAAAATTAGAAAAAATATATTTGTCAGTCACGCAAACAAAATTAGGAAATAATAATCCTATACGACTATATATTTTAGTAAAAAAAAAAAAGAGAATAAAACCGTGGTTTAGTTTAAGATATTTGGTTAAGTTAATCTAAACCCAAAGGAGTGGTTAAAAAAACCACACAAAACGACAAAAGCAAATTTAGCTTGTTAAAAACCCGCCCATGGAGAAATCCCTTACGCACCTCTAAACCACAGAGAGATAGAGAGAGAGAGTCACAAAAAGAGAGTTTCACAGCAAACGAAACAATGGCCGTCTCCTCGTTCCAGTGCCCTACGATCTTCTCCTCATCCTCCATCTCCGGCTTTCAATGCCGTTCTGATCCAGATCTCGTCGGTTCTCCCGTCGGTGGATCATCCCGCCGCCGTGTCAATGCCGCCGCTGGGATCTCTTCCTCATTCACCGGCGACGGTGGGTTGTCCTCCAGGATCTTGAGGTTTCCTCCTAATTTTGTCCGTCAGCTGAGCATCAAAGCCCGTAGAAACTGTAGCAACATCGGTGTTGCGCAGATCGTGGCGGCTAAGTGGTCCAACAACCCTTCCTCCGGGTTACCTTCGGCGGCGGCGGCGGCTGCTGCCTCGTCTGCATCTGCGGTTTCTTCCGCCGCATCTGCAGCCGCAGCCTCGTCCGCCGCCGCCGCCCCCGTGGCCGCCGTTCCTCCCGTCGTGCTTGAAAGCGTCGATGAGGAGGTTCTGGTGGCCGGGGAGGGGATCAGGGAGAAGATAGGTAGTGTACAGCTAACGGATTCCAAACACTCATTCTTAAGCTCCGATGGGAGCCTTACTGTTCATGCCGGTACGTCTCCTTGCTAGATCCATTTCTCGTTGATTTTTTTGGACATTTCATATCTGATTCTTTTAAATTGGGGTTTCTACTCAGGTGAGAGGTTAGGTCGTGGTATAGTCACGGACGCTATCACTACTCCTGTAGTCAACACATCTGCCTACTTCTTTAAGAAAACTGCCGAGCTCCTTGACTTCAAGGTGCGTTTTTTGAGTCCCGTCTGCTTTTTATACTCGACAATATATTAACTTTGGTTGAAAGAAGAATCTGTACTAGTTTTTTTTTACTGCATCATTGACTTTTGCTTCGAAAACTTGAATTTGTTGTAGGAGAAACGGAGTATAAGTTTCGAGTATGGTCGTTATGGTAACCCTACGACTGTTGTACTTGAAGAGAAGATAAGGTTATTATTTTGTCTTCCTTATGTCTTTTATAATTACACTTGCCTCTTTCCTAAGGATTCTCTTCTTGATGCCTTTGGATCTGTTTGATTAATATAATGTGTAGTGCACTTGAAGGAGCTGAATCGACTTTGGTTATGGCCTCTGGGATGTGTGCTAGCACTGTTATGCTTTTGGCTTTGGTTCCTGCTGGTGGACACATTGTCACTACTACAGATTGCTACAGGAAGACAAGAATCTTCATGGAGAATTTTCTTCCCAAGATGGGGATCACTGTAAGAACTCATGACGCCGAAATTTATATTTACAGTCTTTCTTTTGAACTTTCCCATGTTCTCTGTTTCTTAAAGACTATATAACGCACAGAGATCCATTCCAAGTTGGATGATTAATTTCATGTTTTCTGTGTCCAGGTCACTGTGATTGATCCTGCTGACATCGCAGGGCTTGAAGCTGCAGTGAATGAGTTCAAGGTCAGTTCTGTAACATATTGTGCATAAATTTCCTTCTTATTGTTGGAAATAGAATATGTCTCTCAAATTCATTCCGACTTGTCTGGCAGGTTTCTCTGTTCTTCACGGAGTCCCCAACAAACCCATTCCTTAGATGTGTCGACATTGAGCTAGTTTCAAATATATGCCACAAAAGGGGAACTCTTGTTTGCATTGATGGCACCTTCGCAACACCTCTGAATCAGAAAGCCCTTGCGCTTGGTGCTGATCTTGTCGTGCACTCTGCTACAAAGTACATTGGAGGACACAATGATGTGAGTAAAAAGTGTTCCATGTATTGTAAAACATCAGAAGAGCATTTATTGGCTGTATAATTACTAACAAAGCTTGTTACTCCTTGGCTTAGGTTCTTGGTGGATGCATCTGCGGTCCACTGAAGTTGGTTTCAGAAATCCGCAATCTGCATCATGTGCTGGGAGGCACACTTAACCCGGTAAATTACTTGACCCTCTTATGAATCTCTCTCTCTCTCTTATTATTCTTTATTTCATGAATTCTCATAAAAATTTGTCAACAGAACGCTGCGTACCTAATCATCCGAGGCATGAAGACGATGCATCTTCGTGTACAGCAACAGAATTCGACCGCTTTTAGAATGGCCGAAATTTTAGAGGCACATCCTAAGGTATGTAATATCTCTTGTGTGCACTTTTTTAAGTAAATTTCCTGACATGAAACTGTAACGATCTGATCCATTTTGATTTGCAGGTGAGTCATGTGTACTATCCAGGTCTTCCAAGTCATCCCGAACATGAACTCGCCAAGCGACAAATGACTGGTTTTGGAGGTGTGGTCAGTTTCGAGGTAAAGATCAGTCACCAACCTAATCTCCCTATGTCCCTCTAATCATTCAAGAGTATAAATGATCCTGAAAACCGTGATCTATCTTGATTTGGTAGATTGATGGAGACATTGAAAGGACAATCAAGTTTGTGGATTCTCTCAAGATACCTTACATTGCACCATCTTTCGGTGGCTGCGAGAGCATCGTGGACCAACCTGCCATCATGTCCTACTGGTATGTATATATGCTTCCGAGTTGACAAACTCATAAAAAATTCCGGATTTGTCGTTTGACTAATTGATTTGGCTATAGGGATCTGACGCAAGAGGAGAGGCTGAAATATGGTATCAAAGATAACTTGGTGCGTTTCAGCTTTGGAGTTGAAGACTTTGAAGATGTCAAAGCTGACGTCCTTCAAGCTCTCGAAGCCATCTGAAAATGAGAGATAATATCACCCAAAATGCCATTGTTCCTTTGTGTCTTTGTCTTTGTTTCTTCTTGCTGTTTCAATCACGTTAATGA